CACATCGTCAGTCTTTTCACTTTTATTGAATATGGAGAAAGAAGAAAGAAGTGTTGAAGTAATTAAAGTGTTGAAGGTAGGAAGTAAGAAGGTTATGGTACCCAAATACAAATAACCTGTAATTACATGGCCATCTGTTCCGTCCGCAAATTGCGCTGTGGACGAACAAAAGAATGGATAGAATATCCCGCTGAGAGTGCGTCCATACTAAATTGAGTTTTTCAGTTGTATAAGAGATGGTACTTTTCGTAGTCAGCGCATTATCTGCAGGTAATACTAAATTTGTTATTAATTCTATTTTGTTATTTCCATTAATTTAATCCACAAATATGCGCTTCCATTTTTTAGGAAGTATAAAGCAGTCAATTAATCATTTCTCTGAACTAAGTCATTCATAATGTTAAAACTAAGAATTCAAACTAAAATTTAATTGAATTATGAATTTCCCTTTTAAATTCACTATGATGTAAATAAAAGTTCTGTTGGTCGAGGTCTTAATTAAATGAAAAAATTCAAATTTGGCATTCTATAAAAAATCTGCTTAATGAAACAACCTTGAAATTCTATATCTACATAGTAACTGAAATCTAATTAAAGTATATCGTTTGAAATATCAAAGAAAATTTAAGCATAAAATGGCTTATAAATTATGGCATCTTAATTTTGAAAGCAAGCTTTTTTTACAATTTCTGATAAAGTTGTTCAGGAAAATGTCAATATTATTGCACAAATTTTCGTCCATTCTTAAGCAAATTTGAAGAGTGGTATTGACACATCAAACTTAACAGATGGTTGATGTAATCTGACAATGACAATTCTTGGTACATTCATCACTCATTGATTTTTGTTATAAGATCCTTTTTTGCGAAGAAATGAGAGTTTCACTTTTCTAACCTCTATCGATTTCTATCTAAAAATCGAAAATAATCAGTGATCAGTGATTGCTCATGTTTCATACAGCATGAATTAATGTGAGTGGTAGTGGTCAAATGTGTAACATAGAAGGTCTCCTCGGGCAGTTGACATGTTCAATATTTGTCTCTCCATGACATGCAATGCATTAGATGAAATTAATTGAGAAAATTAATTTCCATCTTATCTTGGTCAACAGAAGTCGCAGGAGAACGGGAAATTCCCTGATTATGCTTTTAAATTACTAAACTCTCAAATAATAGTTTATTACCGTTCTTTTTGGAGAATCTCGTAAAAAAAAAAAAGGAAAAAAAAAGTTTCCAGTCTCTAGAAGATATACTATTGCAAAAATGTGCAAAATATTTCAATTCTACTAATCCTCATCAAAAAATATAATGCATAATGCACTAATTCCAATTTTTGAGTTTCACTTTAATCTTTTATACTAACAGCTGAGGTTTCAATATTTTTAATAGCATTATTCAATGCACCAATTCTCGTTTATATCTTAGGAAAATAACAATAGCAATGACTGAGATTATATCAAGTTACCGATTTGACTGCTCGTTCACAATTATCGTTTTCTGGTCGAGTATTATTACCAAAGAGAAAATCATAGTTTTTCATCTAAAATTTCATTTCTTAAAAGGAGGGTATAAAAAAGTTCAAACTTCATCTCTTAAAGAATCCCTAAAGTCACATCTATCTAAATTTGATATAGAAAACATCACAACGGTAATATAATCATTACTTGATTCTACTTTCATTTCAAATTTACTTCTTTCATTTCAGTGATTTTGGATATTTTTTTTTGCTGTTGCATGTTGAACCGATGATGGTGGATGATTGTAATTGAAATTTCATTCCAATGCTTTCCCAGAGTGTGATTAGTAAGCGCGGAAGTGCTACACACGGATGAGGCAGCTGGCGCTGCTGGTAACAAATGCGTTTAACTGAGTCCAAAATGCATTTTAACCAATTATTCTGACAGGTCGAGGAAAATTTTGATTGATAATTCACATAAAATTTGGCATTTCCCGCAACATTTCATCCTCGGGAATCTAACTCTCAGCCACTAACATCACCCAACCAAAATCATTGTTTCACTCAATTCATTGTTACACTGCCGTTAAAGCTCTCTCAACTATAGCATTATTCTAAAAAATTCATAACTAAACAGCCTGATTTTTGATATTTCGAAATATATGAACTTAGATTAGATCCATGTGGTCTTCATGAATATTTTGTGTTAAATTATAGATAACAATCAATCAATACTAACACTTAACATTATGAATGAGTAGCCAGAAGAACAAAGTGGTTTCTAATTGCCAAAACAATTATTCTCAACAATATAAAATGCATGAAACTAAGAAAAAAATCTCAGCAAATCTGTTTGGTCAATAAAACATTATCAAAATTAATAAAATTTATAAAGGTTTTTTAAGTAATGAAATTGTTATTTGAACTAAGAAATTAAAAAAATCAAACGAGCAAATTAAAAGCAATGAGTGCAACAATTATACCAGCGAAGTTTTTTGATATCTGTAAAAGTGTAAAAGGTGTAAAGTGAAACCATAATTTAACTGTAACGATGAAACGTTCCATTTAAAGTAAATAAAAATAGCTCGGAGTAATTAAATCACCTATGAAAATACTACACTGACAAGATCAAATTTGAAATATTAAATCGAATACGGCCTGCTTCTTCTATAAGTTCATTAAAATGCACCAACCTTTTTTAGTTATTGGTTTTAGAGCCATTTTGTCTAATTTCACCAGCACTTTTTTATGATTAACATTTTCAATTGAGCTCAGGTCATCCATCACGTGAGTTTTTGTCTTTGATACCACACTTTCGTCAGACTGGATTACTTATCAATACAGCAAAAACTGTCAGTGATATTTTATGTGCTCGATATTTACTGCAACATTTTTGAGTAAATCTGAAACAATGCAATTTTAAGTTAGATAAAACTATCTAACACATAAGCATTTGAACAATTTGTAAACACGGAATATTATATGATCATAGTTTTTGCAATATTTATATAACCGACAAAGATTTGGATGATGAATAGACAATATCCTAATGAACAGAAGCAAGTGATTCGCTTGTTTTCCTCATTCATTTTAGAATCCTTAGCCATCAAATAAAAAAGAAGCAAGCGCACATGGTAGCAAATACTGCGTCGTCTTTATCTTACGGCCTGCTTTTATTTCTGTTCTTGGAGTCATTTTATGAAGAAATGAAATTACATTAATCTCAGTAATTAATCACAACATGTACTTAAACAGGTGTTTGCATGTATGACACATACACTCTTCAGCAACGCTCTAATAAAGGATGGTCAAGAATGCTTATGCTCGATTTCCCGTTTTTTTTCACTTCATCATTAATACTCGTTAATTAATTCGATAAATATTTAAATGATCATTATCAGATAAGAACAGCTTCATTACTTCATTATTTGATTATAAATCTTAAAAATTTAAACTGCAGTTTGAAAATAAAATTTGTAGAATGATATGGAGTAGATTACATTAGCTGATACGTTCGACGGACCGAGGAAGATGCATTGTTCATGATGAGCCATATCTTGCCGAGAATTATCGAGATGACCTTTCGACATTTATTGTGTGTATGTGCATACATAATATAAAAGATAAAAGGGACGGATGTTAGGAGAATTAATAGCGATGTCATCATTAATTCACTATTAGCAACAGCAGTTCATAAATCTAAATGACGACTGCATCCCTCGGGGTAATAAATCAAAATGATAGAGAGGGGCGGGGGAGGAGGAGGAGAGTTCAGGCCAATACTCACTTCTTCATCGATGTTGAAGTATTTATGAAGAGATATGACAATACAATACATGGCGCAAATGAATGAAGAAAAGAAGGTGGTCCCTTGCATTTGGCAGTGAGATAGATGGGCGTCTTCGTCCCTCGTATCTTAATTCTCTTTCCTTCTCCTCATTTATTTCACTCTTCCTCTAACATTGAGAGGAGTGAGTACGATGACAGTGATGACAATGATGATGATGGTGATGGTAATGATGATGATGATGATGTGGGGGAGGAGGGTGATAATGAGGAGAAGGGCTAGTGATAATGATGAGGAGAAAAGGAGGGTAATGAAAAGAATGGTAACGATGATAATCGAAATAATGATAAGGAAAGAGATGGTAATAATAACGAGTGTCAGTGGTAGACAAGACTGTGAAGAGTCATCATAGCATTTACTTCCTCTCTTTTCCCCTTAAATTCATGGATGCATAAAATGAGGTCAGAGTGAGTGGACAAATTCAATTAATGTGCAGAGAACCGAAGAAGAAAGGAGGAAGATACCTCCTACCTGGTCAGGTAAAGGTGTCACTCATTTTTATCATCCATGGATCGTTCTTTCTTCTGCTCTCCTGAAATCCAGTAATATTTCAACTCGATGTTTACAGTCAGGAATGAAACTAAACCTTCGCCATTACAAAAACAAATTCTAACAGATACCAACGAAGCGAAGAAGCATCTGTGTCTGCTCAACTTATCCTCCATTCACAGTACTAATAGCCGTTGTAAACAGAAAATTCATTCCATAGATGCGTAGACTTAACCAACTGCGATTTTGTTTGTCCTTTTTGCACAGAAAAAAGAATATTGAACAAGAAATGGATGAACGATGACGTGGTGTAATGTGTCAAGGCTCTCGTTTGAAAAACTTGAAAAGAATGTGGAATTCATTCAAAGGTCAAAAGACAAATTCTTGTTATGTGAAATGACTCTTCATAATTGTTATGAATTAAAGAAGGCAAAATTAGATATGCCAGCAGTATTATTTTCTAATAACTTCTTTTTCCGAGATTTTCGAACATTTACTCAGTGCTATGAAAGGAAGAAATGCTCAGAGTGTATGTGTTAAATGAAATACCGTCCTGATTTAATGACGTAAACATCCGAAGATAGAAGAAAGTTTATGGGATGCCTGCCGTCTGCTAGTTCCAATAAATCAATAGGCTGTGTACTGACTCGGTTAAATTGCGAAAAGGAAGATTTGTAATGACAAGATTGACACTACTGATATGTTGACACTACTCCACTGGAACTCTCGATATGTCCATTGTCATCATGCCCTTTTCACTCCCCGTTTCGCTGAACTCTAATTTCCACTGCTTTCTTATTAGGAAAAGATCGAGAGGACATGTTTTTAACTAATTTGTTACATTGCTGCGACAACTTACTACGTTGGATCGTCACAATCAGAATGACCAAGATGTCTTCCTTGTATAAGTTATTCTCAAGGTCAAAATTCCAATATTTCATCTCTTAATCGAATACTGTAAGCATTGGTTTTAAAGTTCTTACGCCGATGTTTTAACAAATTAACAAATTTTTTTTTAGTCTGAAATCTTATATAAATCTTTCATTTTTAAATTTCAGATATGCTTCCAAGAAACTGTTTAAATTTTTTTGTTAATGAGAGTCAGCAGCTCTCGTGCATAAATTGTATAAACAGTTAATTTGTGCAGTTCTACTTGTCCCGCCAGTATGGAACAAGTATATCTTCTGGCACAAGAAATATAAGACTGATGGGGAAAAGACAATAAAATGTATTGTAAACAAAGTGGACACCATTAGTTTACTAAACCATAAGTTACGTAACTATATCATGCGATACAGTTACATAACTTTCGATATCATGGTTCCTATATTTCAATGTCATCAACATCCTTATTAATAGTAAGTGTCGCGATATAGCCAACCATGAGGTCTCGTCCTGCAGAAGTATTTCCGTACTTCGTCGTAAACAAATATCAACCATGCAAATGATACTGGGATCATTGCCCACGAAAGCCTGCAATTTAATCATCCGAAGTTTTCTCATTTCACACTAGTTCAGTTTGTTCAGGTGCTTAGGTCATAAATTTATTTATTGAGTCTTGTCCACCATACTATTCTTTCAGTCTGTTTACAACAATGATTGTGTAAACAGAGGATATTTGCTTTAAATTCTCGAACATTATTGGTTGTCTTTGGAAATAACATACCTGATAGGCGTCAATCCGAATACTTTGTTTACGTAAGGCATGAAAAGAAGAAACGTGCTGAGTACTGCAGTAAATATTAAGCCCATATTTAAAACCCAGTTACTAAAATTAACAGAAACGATTTAGATTTGATGAAATTAAATACATGCATCATCAAATCGCCAGTTTTGTTTTTTGTTTACATAGTAGGTTACTTAAAAAAAATTCCATCAAAATAAATCACTTGATCTCTTTCAAAAAAAAAAAAAAAAAAAAAAACTTAAATTTAAATGGAATAGTTTCGTTCTAACTAAAATGAGCATGTTTTGAATGGAACAATTTTTGTCAAATTAAAATAAACTAGATGAAGGAATTACCTCATTCCTTGCTGTACAATTGAATTGTAACGAGTTTTTGATATTAGTAAGTCTGCCCACTGTACGACAACGATTGCATAAAAAAAAGCTCCATGACAGCAGCGCTCCAAATCTTTCCGTGCCTTGTATGTCTATAGTGAATATTTAATTAAAATAAAAAAAGTTTTTTAATTAATTAGTAAATATTTGTATGGTTTTTATAGAGCTCGAAAGTTTCTTTTAAAAATCCCTGTTTAATGCACGGATACAGAGAGGACCCATTGTTGTCCATAACTGTCCTCCAGATCGTCCACCATTGAGTCATCCCACTCATCACGGATCCAAAGCAAGCGGTGAATATGAAATCCATTTTCTGCCATTATGATCAAATAAGTCATGAAACCAGCTGCCGCTTGTATGATACCAATTTGTAGATAAGAAAAATTCATTAATCTGCAAAAATTTCAAAATGTTTCATTTTTAGTTATAAATAATTTGTTTCAAATTTATGAAAATTTGAGCATATCATCTGAATATAATTTTCAAAACCTGGCATTAACAAGTTTGTCAACTTTGGCGTTTCTCGGTGGTCTCTCCATAATATTTGTTTCCGCTTCTTCATAAGCAATTGATATAGCTGGCCACTGCAAACAAAATCATTTAAATGTCTAATTTCTTTTTTGAAAGTTGACCTCCATCATAATGAACAATAAGATGATCTCCTTAGCATTCGAAATTTCCATTGCTGGTAATGATAGGTTTCTCAAGAATCGAACAAATACATATATCAAAGTAAGAAGCTAAATTAAAAAGTTACTTAATGCTACTTGAAATCTGAGCATTACAGTAAATTTTCCATGGAAGAAAAGTTTTTGAAAAAATATCTGACCAAATCAGTTCCTAAATCGATACACAAAATAGCGACAACACTCATCGGAAGTGGTATACCAAAGAGGATGTAAGATAAGAAGGGAGTAATTTCTGGAATGTTCGAAGTAAGCGTATAAGCTATCGACTTCTTCAAATTGTCGAAAATGATACGACCCTCTTCGACCCCAGTAACAATGGATGCGAAATTATCATCTAACAAGATCATATCAGCTGCTTCTTTAGAAACATCTGTGCCAGCAATTCCCATTGCTATGCCTGCAAAGTGAATGAATTTTTTTTTTTTTCACACTTTAAAAATTATTAATATTCCTACTTCCATTATATGTTCATTACATTAATTCAAATTTTATTTGGAAAATATAATACGAGGAAGTAGTTAAAAAATACCACACCGATATCAGCTTTCCGAAGTGCTGGTGCATCGTTAACGCCATCTCCTGTGACAGCTACGATATGTCCTGCATTTTGGAAAGCTTCTACGATTTGCAATTTTTGAATTGGAGATGTTCGAGCGAAGACGATCTAGAGTATGAGAAATCTTTTGTAGATCTTTTATTTTTCATTTATTAATTATGATTTACAGTCAATTAATAAAGAAGACGGTAGGCGAAGAAACGGATGAAATAAAATTGGAACTAAGAAAGTAATGCAAAATGACAATTAAAAATTATTCATCCCCGAAAATTTGTCTTTAAAGATTTAATTAACATACACATGAGTAATACTTTACTATGAAGTTTAAATCTTTATCTGACAATTTCTTGAGTTGCTCGCCATGTACAATCATTGCCTGGCATCTGCAAATATTAGGTCATCTTTAAGTAAATCGTGAGCTCGAAGTAAATTCAACAACTTCAAATAAATACACAAAATTTAAATAAATATCCAAAAAAAAATTCTGTTAATGTGATCTTTTTTTTTTTAACTTGATTAGAAAGCAGTTTAATACTTAAAAAGAGGCAATGATAGACGGAAACGAACTTATCACCATTACCCATTATCTCTTCCCATTTTAATTTATCGCCATCATTTATTATTCTTGAAGTGATGCTTCCTTCCCTGATAATATTGACTTGTCGAGCAATTGCTTCAGCTGTCAATGGATGATCACCAGTTACCATTACAATCTGAAATTGGTCACAAAATTCTTGATAAACTGAAATGAAATGCAACATTTGCTAGCTTCCTTTCTCGAATATTTAAAATTACAAAAATTTCCGGAATGTGTTTTTAATAAGTTTAAAAATAAGTCTCAACTAAAAGTTTGGTGAAGCGCAATGAATAAAGAAGCCGATGGATGAGCTATTATCAAGAGTTTAGAGTGAAACAATACATACTTTGATTCCAGCTGATTGGCAAAGATCAACAGCATGTGGAACAGCCGGTCGTGGCGGGTCGATCATGGAAATAAGTCCTAAAAATCGCAAACCTTCAAGAGGAAAATTAAGGGGATCGGTGCAAAATACGAAATTTTTTCGATATTTCTCGGGGTCAAGATCCAAATCACAGAATCCCATTACTCGTTCACCCAATCCACCAAGATATTTGTAAGCCTAAAAAGTAAGAAAACTGCGAAAATACTAATAATTAAATGTTCAAAGGTACAGTGGTTTGAGGTGGAAATTTCCAGAAAACTTTAAAAATTAGACTTTTAAGAAATGATAAAATTTGAAGTTGTTTTCATTTGCTTCAGAAGAAGTTTTACATCTTGAAAAAGTTTTAAATCTTCTCTAGTTAAATTTCTCTCTCCATTGTCTTCAAAGTACGTTTTACATCGATCAATAATTTGTTCTGGTGCCCCTTTCATGACTAAAACAAAATGACCATCAGATTCCTGTTTATGTATAGATACCTGAAAAAATTCTTGCATGTATTCACTTTGTCGATAACAAATACAATTTGATGGAATCTTGATAATTCTGAATACGAAGCACCTGGAATTTATTAGTTGAGTTGAACGGAATTTCGAAGATTTTGGGATAAAGTTTTCGATAAGCAGTTACGTTACCACAAGTATATTCACAATATTTCAAGATAGCAACTTCTGATGCATCGCCATTCGCGTCACGTTTCCATAATTTAACGTCGCGGTTCTCATCCTATAAGGAATTGGGAAAAATGGCAATTTAATTTCCCAGTTTGTATAAACCATTTTTGGAATTTAAATCAAATGTAACCTTGGAGAACAGGTTCACATACATGAAATGTGAAATATACAAGAAGGCTTTTTTCCACAAATGTTAAGTTTTCTACAAATCTACATCATTAAATATACTTGAATTGATATTAAAAGTTATTCATTACTTGAAAAAGTATCGTCATTAAAAAGAAGTTAAGATTACAAATCTCTTTTTTACCTTGAAGGTAGCTTATTTCTTTTCTATTCAATAAGAAATGCTTTAAGTCCTTGCTTACAACAACAATGTATAACTCTAGATTTAGATTGGAATTAAACTTTGAATGTAGCATTAGAGCATAGCGCTGCACATCGTACGAAAGCGCCAAATGTTCCAACAAAACGATCGAAATTCAATTCCTTAGGATCACTGTTTTCAGATGTAGATTCGTGAAAATTTACATCAGAAATGCTACCATTAAACCTAAAACCAAATTTTTGGTACACGGGATGACTGGGAAAGATACTGTGAAAACAATTCTAGAAAAATCTTTCATCATCATTGCTGACGAACAACAGTAAGAAGTTAGTAAAACGAACCATGTATGAGTAACGGTCATTCGATTTTGTGTTAATGTACCAGTTTTATCCGAACAGATTGTAGACGTTGAACCGAGAGTTTCTACTCCTTCCAGTTTCTTTACCAGACAATTCTTTCTTCTCATCTTAACAGCTGTTAAAGTCAAACAGACCTGAAATTGGCAGCCGAAACTATGTCATAAGACTATGCGTTCACAGTTCCGTAAACATCGAAATTTGCATTGATTAAGTCAGATTTCTTTCAAAATAAATCATAAAGACTTGTTTATTTTAGTTCTGGTAACCAGTTTTTTATTTATTTCTTTCTTATCTTCATTTATTTGAGTTGCTGTTCTGATTATTAATTGAAATATACCGTCATAGTAGCAATTATACCTTCTGGAACATTAGCCACAATAATACCGATAAGGAAAACCAAGGCTTCCACAAACGTATATCCGTAAATTATACTAACTAAAAGATTTGGAATAGAAAAAACAACTTAAATTTGATTTTTCTGACATAAATTTCATGGTCATTCTTTCAATGTCTTTGAAAATTTTTAAAATTAAAAAACAGATTTATTATAACTGTTAGCCAATTACAGATATGTTTTGATGAATTATGGATACCTCAGAGAGTTTAAAACGATTAAATTTCTAGCTTACTTATGAAAAATGAAATGCCGATGGTTGCGGCAACGACGCCTATGACTGTAATGAAGTGGTCAATTTCTCGACCAATCGGTGTTTTTCCGGAATCAACGCGTGACGTCAGGTAAGCAATTCGTCCCATTATCTAATAAGTTTGTAAAATTATAACTTTCCGCCCATTTTATGTCTATTAATGTTTCCAGTAGAGTATTCTGGACTTCGAGAAAGTCGAACTCTTTCTTCATCTGGAAGCCTATTTAGTTGAAGTATAGATGAAGCAATGAGTTTTCTTTGTCAGGTGCTAAATACTATGCCAAATACTAGAAATTCTACAACGATAATTTCTGAACAAAAGCATTCCTGAACCTATTAGAATAACACTTGTAACTTCATTTAATTAGACTTCGCGATGAGATTTTATGAGGAAATTAATTATCTTCTAAAATTATCACAAAGAGTCTACATGATGATGATTAATTATAAATTGCACCGTTCTGTCGCCCGTGAGCACCACAATTCCTTTGCATTTACCTTCCACAGCACCAGTTCCAAAAAGTACCAAATTATTAGTCTCCAATGGATTCACGTGAGTACACTCAGGACTACGATTTTGCGGCTCACTTTCGCCGGTTAATGTCGAACAATCTACCTAAAAAATATATCTAATGAATATATCATGATGAATGAAGAAACGGTAATATGACAAAGTAAATATTGAAAAAAAAGGAAAGTGTGATAGCAAAACAAACTTTAAGACCAGAACTGCTAATTACACGAACATCTGCCGGAATGCGATCACCAGCTTTTATATACACAATATCGCCTGGTACTATCAGTGTAGCATCTACTCTCTTCATTTGGCCATCTCTCAATACCTAATTTGTTTGGGTTAGCAGAATAATTAGTTACAAATATTATCATATCAATAATATTAGCTATAATTACAAGCATACTGTAGTAGTAGGTGGTGCCAGTCTTGCGAAACTTTCCATAATTTTAGAACTTTTATACTCTTGATAGTATGCGAAAAATCCTGTGACCACAACGACAACCGCAAGAACAATTCCCATATAGAGCTGTAAAGAGATTTGTAGTACAAATTTACTATTGTTTTATAACTTTTTCTTGCCTATTGATAAAATCGATATGCTACTAACATTATCCAACTTGACATTAGCGCTCTGCTGACTTTCGATGATATAACTTGTAACGGATGCAAGCGACCCAAGCCACAGAAGGAAATTAAATCCAGCAAACAAACATTTCAATGCCGCCACAAGCTCTGATCTTTTCTTTGGCGGTGTTAACATGTTCAAACCATATTCTTTCAGCAGTTGATTTGCTTTCTCTTCCGAATGCCCCTTTAGGATTTCATAGAATTATGTTTTAAATTTATTTTATTTCTTATTCCTTAAGTTATGAACTACAAAAAATAAGGGCGGTACAGCTAATTGCAATGGTGAGTCATTAATTCACTATATTTAACGATTTAAGGTGAACTTTAGAAAATTCAGGTGTGGATTCCCTAACAACTGATGCTTGAATGTTTAATGCAATAAGTCTCCCGCTTCAATAAGTTTTATCTTTTACTATGACTCTATATTATACTAGTCCTAATGTCCCTTGATATCAGTCATCAGTAATCACTATTAACTGGAATGAAACATACTTTCCCCTAACGTAGAATTTGGAATTCGTATGTTGTATTTATAATGAATAATGGATGAGCCTTTCATATTTAAAGTATTGTAAGCAATAATTTGCATAAGAGTCAAAGGCTATTCAGATATACTCGTTCGAGTTAGAAGTTCTTCCTTACATAGAACTGCGATCAGTTTTTTCCGCTTTAACCATAAATGCAAATTATTGCTTACAAAAATTGCCATAAAATCATTATACCTACCATATTCACATCTGTTTTCAACTCAGCACAAAGTTCTTCTATTGGAATTTGATGCTCTCTCTAGAATTAATTTTAGGAATAGTCGTAGTTAAAAATTGAAAAATAAAATCTATTGAAATGACTTTTAAACTATTTTATTGGAATTGATAAATTTTATGTGCGTTGTTACTTATTGAGCATATCAAAAATGGTATATCATTCACCAATTCAACTTCTTTCTTCATCAACTGCATTGATATCTTACTCTTTTCTTTATCCATTCCGAATTCCGATCCGGCCAACAGGCAGCACTGTAATTTCAATAAATGTTATGCTTCTCAGAAATGACATTATTTCTAGGAAAAAGAACTAATTCAAATTTACATATGCCAAAAAATTAGACTTGCATGTTGCTCTAGTTTTATCCTCTTTGTGTGCTCTAATTTTACAATCCTAAATATTTTCTTAATGTTTATGAGCTTCAATTGTTAAGACAGAAATTCTTCAAACATTCAGTATTAAGCAGTCATGTAGCCGCCTTTTTCTATTTTTTTCTTTTTAGATTGTCAGGAACTCGACTAGATGGTAATTGCTTTTAGGAACAAAACCTAAAACCTAAGATATTTGAAGTTTTTTATAGGAATTCTTCAGTCGTAAACTGAGCAATCGGCGGTTTTTGGAACATTTGATAGGCTAAAAATTCCCAGTTTATTCATCTTCAATCCAAATGACTAATTCGCAATTTAATTCTCCAAATATCGATTGCTGGAGAAAAAGCAGATCTGATTCAAATTAAAATTATAGTTTTTAAATCGTTTTTCAGTACTATTTATCTTTGCAAAAATACAATGATCCTCCTTGTGAGACATTGAATTTTTTTTCATACGGTCAAAATTCTATTTGCATTTAATAATTCCATAATCAAGCAAATTAGGGTAAGATTTTTTCCTAAAAAAAATTAAAGGCTTTGATATAAATTAAGTGGTGACACTACTAAAGTATAACATCTAAACTTGTCATAATCGCCTTCACATGTCTCCACTTATTGGAATTAAATTTAAATTATAAACGTTGCAGGATTTTTAATGAGTGAATTGTATGCTTGGTACCACGTTATCAACAGTGTTAGCAATGACTCTCTAAACTGTTTAATACATGCAGCAATAGTTATAGTTATCATAACTCTGTGATCATTTCTCTTTTGCTTCATCCTTTTTCTCTTTGATTTAAACATTGCGAATTTCATGTCACTTTGTCGACGAAAAATTTGCATTCTTGAATTTAATTAATCTTTCGGTGTGCTATTAATGTTTCCTATTGAATACTTCATTGATATCCTATAAATATTTGATTATAAGTCTGTGTAAGAATAAAAAAGAAATAAAAATGTATAACCTCAAGAGAAATGTATTCCTGAAAATTTTCGCCGCCTATGTTTTCAAAATTCTGAAAATTCCTGCAGGAGACATTAAATGCTTATTTAAAGTATGGATGATAATAGAGTATTTAATATTGAGCTAATATGTAGTGGGAAGTTTGAAAGAATGAACCAGTAAATTAAGGAAGCAACAGGAGCGGAAATGATATTAACAAGAAAAGGTATATAAATGAATCGCCATTCATCACGTATGGCCAAAAATATATATGCCGTAGAAATCAAGCCAATAGTCCTCGCTAGATTTGATGTCTGGCCGATAGTAGAATATCCAATAAAAGTAACGATGGCCTGAAATTTTAGTTCTTTCCTTCAAATATTAATTGTTAATTGCTGCAGCAGTTGTATTAGTGTCGCACTGATCTTTAATTATTTAAAGTTAGCTTACTAATTCTTGTTGGTGTGCTAAATAAACTTAAATTTATGAAATCAAATAATTCATATATTAAAAGGATCTTACTCGTGCTGTAGATACGATCGCAGCACATAACGCACCGTTCCTACCATGACTGATGACACCTGTGAACAGGTAAGCGCAGCAAACCAATGTACTCAATGTTAATTCCATAAAAAAATACTGCAAACATAAGATGGAATTTAGTAAATTAATTTATTTCAGCAAATATTCTGCCAATTTCATCAGCTGATGAATACAATGACTTAGTTCGATTTTAATATTGTCTTATAGAAAAAGTCTGTCTAAATAACTGTAAGAGTTATGGCAATTTCAAACTAATATATGTTATTCAAGATTATTCTCCAATATTAATACTTTCCCAACTTGGATCGCTCTCTTCCAGATCGAATTAACAATACATTCTGCAACAAATTTTCCACCTGCAAACGATTTGCTGCATGTATATCCGTGTTGGACCATCTTATCGCTGCATGCATTGCTACTGCAAATGTGTTGTTTTGCAGAATACATTGCGCATAAACAGCGCCAAGAAATGCTCCCAAAAATTGCATAAATATCATAAAAAGTCCAACTGCTAAGCGACATCTTCCAACAAATATTACTGACAGCGTTTGTGCTGAAAATTCGAAATAAGCATTTTTATTTATTTGAGTTTCATGTTGTGTAAAGTTGGAGAAAAATTTTCAGACTTATGGATGATTTCCACTTAACATTATACTCTTCCTTATCAATCATCAATCTATTCCATTTGTTTCGCTTCAAAAAATAACGAGAAATTACCTGGATTGAAATGTGCGCCACTGAAGCGCCCCAAGCAACACGTCAATGTGTACAAAGCAACACCATCTAACAATGATACCGCTAGCTGGGTATTAACTGTATGCAAATATGAACAAATACCTGAAATTGCAGAAATTCTAGTTGAAACAGAAATTTCTGAATCGTCTTCAAATAAATATGAAAAAAAGATATTAGTGCGAAGTCAAAAATTCTTCTAATTCGTCGGAAATCGAAATTTTTCATAGAATTCGATTATTGCTGAGTGATAAAGTTTACCCAGAAAAGTAAGCAGGAATGAACCAACGAATTCAGCAATTGCGGGTATAAAAAAATCCACTGAACTTGGTTTATATTCATTTCTGAACAAAACGAATAATATTAAGTAAAATCATTTTAAAAAGTCATTCGGTGTAAAAATTTGTAGTTTATTGATTTAATAATGACATCAAAAATTATTATAAATAGAGTACCTTGGGCTGTGTTCATTCGTATTTTCTCTGCAAACCTCAAATAATAATCGTTGAACGGTGGGCTGCATAGAGAAACTCAAATTACAATTTAGCAATTTGAAACAGCATGGAAAATGCATACATGTCACAGACTAATGTCTACATGGTTATCACTATGGAAACAGGATGGATCAGCAAGATGGTTTACTGATGACATAGGACATCAAAGGGTTGCGTGGAAGCATAATTCGTTTGATGATGAATCCATCTTAATCTTGCCCGAAGCATAAAATGGAACTTCGTGAAAAAAAAAAAAAGTTGTTGGCTTAGTTTGGGAAAGTTTTGACGCTTTATCACTTTACGCCTTTTGCAAATATGACTTTTTGGTTATTATTCACGTAAATGTGTACGTAACTGATTTTGTAATATAAATACTAACTTTAACAGCTGTACGAAATCTATTTAGGAACTGTGAAAAGTATATGTGCGCAAATACTAGCCTGAAGCACTTAGAATATTTATTTAATAATCGAAAAAAATTTTTAATTACTATTGTGACAAAAGTTTAAATTCTATGCCGGATCAAATGGAATTAAATTTAAAAGAGCAGTGTTGGGAAAAGAAAGTGAAGATTATTTGAACTGTTTTCTGGTTTCTGACTAAAATTTTTTCTTTGAGATAACTATTCAGATCAATGTATTATTAAAGAATGGTGTAGTAATTAGATAATTAATATAATACTATCATATTTATTCTTCCTTGTGTCTTGTCTTTTCTTTTTCTTTTGTGTTTCTCATCTCACTGCATAGTACATAAAAAAAAAAAAAAAATTTCTATTGAAATTATTCGCAGTTGTTATTGTAAGAACTGAAATTGCTGGAGACCAAAGGTATGAGTCTTTTTTATAGAACTGTTCGTTAAATATGAGTAATTTTTAAAGGAATATTGATTTTAGCGCTTGAAAACAAAATGTTAGTTCATAGTGCCAAGTAATCAAAACATTGGCAAGAGAAGAAAATTGTTTGCAAAATTCATTTGCTCCAAGTTATGAAAAATCGCATAGTATATTTGGAAAAAATTTCAACTTCTTTAAATGATGAAGATGCCTCTTTAAAATGTCTCAGAAACTATGACAAAAAATAAGCAATGAAGCCAAGGTGCCTGTACATGCTTCACCAATAAATAAAATGCACTTCCGTGCTTTTGAAAGACTTCCCGCTTGCTCTGCATCAACAAGAGATAATCCCAATATCATATATAAAAAACATTTCAGTTGCTAGATCACATTGATTGAATTCTTCCAGCACCGACTACTGCCTTTGATTTTCAGTCTTTCACTGACAACACTTCACCATTCTAATTTCTTGGTATACAATGAATATTTACAGCTAGACATGTCGAGATACTGTTGAAATGATGAAACATTGCTAAATTCAGGCTATTTTGTTATTTCAACAGCAATCATAATATATACTCCTAGCTGTTTATTTAATTCTAGTAAAACTGCAATACCACATTGTTAGACATCAAGTAATAATAAATCCTTTATTATTCATGTTTTACTATTCATAAACAACGATCATTAAAAGCATATTTACAGTAAGGCATACAAAAACTATCTTATAGTACTATTGAAAAAACATATTTTTTCCTTCCCTAATTATGAAACAAGTGAAATTAAATAAAATGTGATTAACTTGTAATCAAATACAGTGAATTTAATGAGGTCTTAAGATGTGAAAAAATGCTAGCATTGAGTCTACTTTACATCTAATGTTGATTACATATGATAAATAACAAGAGTACTATACAACAGTACTACAATATTATAATCAAGAAAAATCAGCTGCATCGAATTCAACTCGGCTGCTAATGCAAAACGTGAAGTGATGAATGAAATCAACAAAAGGATATAATCAAAGGCAAAAGTAACAAAACATAGAAGTAAAAGTAATACAGTTATGCATTTATTGTGTGAACTTTACATACCATAATTTTTATTAAAAAAAAATAACCAAATGCAATACTGGTTAAAACTGAATCCTGAAACTAAAATTTTGGCTCACAAGAAATTTAACTAAGCAACTTAGAAATCAAAACTAAATTGTGAGGCCTGAGAACCGCAAACAGAATCGAAAGCATTGCATGCTTCATGATTTAATTTGAAACGAAAATCCGGCACCCCAGAACGAATTTTTTTCCTGTAACTGCGCGAATGATCAAAAAAATGTAGCCAGTTATAAAAACGTGCAGTAAGGTACAAGTATACCTCTCTCTCCTTTAAAGGCCAAAAGGGTTTGCATAAAGCACATCGTTTGAGCGTTAGGAAAAAGTTGAAAGGACACCATAATTATAAATTTACCTTATTGAGGAATTCTTCATCCACTGATTCGTATTCATTGAATCACTAATGACAGGCTCAGTAAAACTATACTCCATTGGTCGATAAATCGGCCATGACCTGCCGTTTTTAGCATTGTGATAAATGGCTTTGCTAGCATTTGACTAAAAAGTAGTGTTTGACTTTGTAAGATTCTGTATTCAAGTCAACAGCATTTTGAAAAAAAAAGGTAATGAGCAGAAAATTTTTTGTAGCTTCTGTTAATGAATTTTTGGTTAAGAATATTCCATCGTAAAATTATGTAATTGTTTTTAGGAAATTAAGTTAAAGTCTTTTTCAATTTGAAATCTAATAAAAAAAAAACTCTCTTCATTTTTCCATATATATATATATATATATATATATATGAATAACAATTACCATATTTGGCGAGTATTTCTCAAACCAAGTGTTTACAGTAATCGGATGATATTCATTCAAATCAAATTCAGGTTGTGCTGCTGGTAAATTGCACAGGATGTTTGTCCCAAAATCATCGTCTATTGCAAGTTTCATCAAATCATTTGAGTTAACCGATAAATTTGTCAAGGATGCAACATCATTTTTTCCAATTTTTGGAAAATCGCTAAAGCTACAATCTAAAATATTCGAATTTTTAATGCAGAAATATATAGCCGAACTTATCTTTAATTTTATATATGAATTCAAAAAAAAGAGTATAACAACCAAACGAACTATTGCTGGAATGGTTTAATAGTTACACGACCATTTTCAACATTTACGAACAGATTTCTTGACAGAATATGAGAAATCTGCACAGAAGATATATGATGAAAAATTGGTACTAACCTAATATATTATTAGATGATGAAGTTTTAGGCGATTGATATACATCCGAGATAGTATTTGCATCATCAGAATTTGATAATACATGCTCATTACTGGCTGGAATGTCCTCAAATTCAAATAATTTTGCAGACGACGAGTCAGAAGTCAGAAATGCCGAATCTACCGAAAACGAATTCAGTGGAGACATATTCTCGAAAAAACTGCGCCAAAATTTCTGGAAAAAATAATAAAATTCCGCTAAAACGGACATTAAGAACCTAAACAGCAGATGGTCGTCCTTTATTCATTCATGGAACAATAATATTCTACTTCATGCATATCGTTCTCCCGTTGTGACAATTCCAATTCTTTTTGCTGAAAATTTGAACCCTTTGGACATACACCATGACGCCGCAAAGAACAAGCTACAATGCTTGTTGCAGCGACGGAATAACTTGTTGAATCGTCATTTCGAAGAAATAATTGCGGCAAAGCTGACAAGATCCGTTCTGCGTAATCCAGCAATAAAGGATCTGCAGGAAACAAACACAAGTCTTTACTATGCCTGAAAAAAAATTGAGAAGTATACAAGAAAACCTTTCTCACTCAAGTACTGAATTAACAAATAAAATAATAAAACTGGGAGATTAAAGATCTCATCAATGAGGAAAGAGCTTTTCTTATAAATAAGATAACTAAATATTAAAATTTTTGAAGAAAAAACAATTTATAAATAAATCTTGCTTCTCTTTATATCTGTCCCCAATTTTTGCAGTAGTTGGAAGATCATAAGAAGACAATGTGCTATCGCCTTTCGTATTGAAAACTGCAGTTTCGTTGACAGGAAATTTTAGATTTGTTTTTTTTCCAAAACTGTAAAATTTGAAAACTGGTGAAAAATGATACTAAAATATTTTAAACAAAACGAAGCTATAAATTCCTAAATCTATCTAATCTATTTATCTATATCTACTATCTATCTTATTCGATTCATTTATCTCCTAGACTATCTTATTTTTTATATTTTATTTTACTTTTATTTAATGCGATTTGATAGCAGAATTGTTTAGATTAAAGAAGCATACTGAGATTTACTAATCATTATTTATAATGATAGCACCTGTTAGGCGAAGCTATGTTAATTTAGCCAAACTTAATGATCACAAGCCACAGTATCGTACAGAATCTTCCACACTCATTATACTTTGATTAGTAGTTTTAGTGCACATTAACAGCGAATAAACTTCGGACAGTTGACATAAATACGCAAGAGGTGTTGAAACAATTGGCAGATACCTTCTCAAAATTTTGTTCCTTACTATCGCTAATACAAATTACAATTCTTAAAAAATTGTTACTTGAAATCAGAAAGTAAGCGAATATACTGAAAAATGAATATACCTAAAACAAGGATGGATGCTAAAAATATTATCAGCTGATAATGGCATTGGAAAGACAATGTTGCGATTAATACTATTTTCAGCTCCTTGCCCTGCTTTATTCCAATTCTGTCGCCTATCACGAGAATCTTCAGCCATCACTGCTCGCACATCCTCTCGAACCTAAAATGAACTAAAATAAATTTTAAAAAAAATGATTATGTGTATTAGATTACACATAACCATTCTATTAAGAACAAATTACATGACAATATTTTCTGCTAATGATGTTTTTTTTTTTTTTTTTAAAAAAAAAAAAAAGACAGCATTTAAGTAAGCAGTTCAAGAACATTTATAAAAGGGAACCCTGCGTTGCATAGAAGACGTTATCATATTTGGTTCAGTAATGACTTCCGACTGTTTTGCAAACATCCAAATACCAGCTCGCTCCTTCAAACGTTTATGAGGTGAAATAGGCTGAGTTAATCGTTGCGCTACTGAAAGTTCTTCAGAGATTAACTATTAAATGTTTACTATATTCCTATAGAATCAAAGGTTAATTTAATACTAAATCATATTTCTTAACTATTATTACAATGTTATAATAATAGCAGTAAAGTTAATCCCGAATCGGGGCGATCCGAATTTACAATGTTACAGTCTGTTTTGGTGAAGAGCAAACTCAGACTGTGATCGTTAGATTGTGTTGTTGAAAGGACCGATATTGAATTACGCCATAAGTTAAACATCTTGAAAACCACAAATTTTAATGAAAAATTCTCCTGTCACAACTAAAAGAAAATAATAATTGACTAGAATCTTTGTGAGCTAGTAATTAAATGGATTGAAGAAAGTAATTCTTTTTCTTAAATTCAGAGAATCGGCAGTTTCAAACATGAAAAGTAACAAAATTATGAGTGGAGTCAAAAATCACTGAGTAGAGGAATTTAGCATAACATTTAATTTCAGTTTCTATTCCAAACATGGCATAAGCCATCACGATCAAACATGCACTTTTTTCTTTTCTTGTATTAATTGGAAAAAAGACAAAAGTATAAGAAGCTATAAAAGCGACTAAAACCATAAAACTAAGATAAGAAAGTGTTTTAATTCTAAAAAGAGAACTATTTTCATACCAAAAAAATAAGTACGAAAATCATTAAATAAATAAGTTACAAGAGAGAAGCCAAGAAGGTTTATGAGCAATTAAAAAAGACCTCTTCCGGTATTAGTTAATACAGTTCTTAGTTCTGAGGTATTAGTTAATGCAATTCGACGGTCCTTAGCTCGTTTCATCACTGCATCAACATGTTTCGCCATTCCATCATGGCAGCTTCTCCCATTTCGTCGTCCCAAACGTCGATGGTTTACATCAGATCGCATACTCTTAAACCATAATAGAAACAAAATTCAAATTAACAATTTATTTTGAATAATTGCTAATCGCTGGAAGCAAAATTTACGGCTGATACATGGAGTTCAATACACATTTGTAGTTTAAGAAAAGGCACTGTAAAGTTTTAATAGAAGTTTGTTTATTAATTCGAATTTACAAGGTTTCGAATTTGCATCACCATAGGTAGGTATTCTAAAAAATTATTATTGTTGGAGAATAAGCACAAACAGCCGTTACCTCCCAAAAAGTAGCTATCATTATGAACATTTTTGATTTGTTTTCAGTGATACAACAAACTTTATTAGTGATCGTATGGTTTTATTGATAAAAATTTAAGTTAAACGTATTTTCATCATTTGTTTAAAAGTTTCAAATCTGTTTAAAGATCATGCATCAAATTTTACCAATGGATGGTGAGATTTTATAATAACATTCTGGTACGGAAAAGCTAAGAACAACGCAACAAGAAAATGCGTTTTGGCAACTGTGTCTCTCTTATATGACATAATTTTTATGCAAAATTTTCGAATTCGCATATTTCGCCAGCACTACTCCATCATTTTTCTTAGATATTTAATGAACCGTTTAACTGGGGCCAACATTGTTAATTTTGACGATCGAATACGATAGATCATTATACAGTATTCTCTAAGGAAGATGAGAGAGGAGGAAAGTTTCAAAACACTTTGTTAATGTGCATTTGAAGGTTTAAGAACATTTCAAAATCATCTCGACTTCTGCACTTCTTGTCCTTAAAACTAATTAAACTAATATTCTAAAGTTTCACGGTTCTTCAAAACCTTTAAACAATCTCTCTACAATCCTTGCAAATTCCTTGCAAGTTCATGAGAAATTACAGCGCTATCGACAACCCTTCACACCATAATTTCTCTTCTCTAATCTGCAAGACTCGCAGCATCAGCCCACTGTACACATGAATAGCTTAAGACATGCAAGTAACTAGTAAAGTCCAACCCACAACCTTACCACCGCTCCACTCCCGCCTCGATGATCATTCGTCCACTCACCCAACCGTCCGAATTTCAACAATTCACAAATCAGGTACTCGGTGGTTTGTCCGTGCAAGTCCATGGTAGAAGTTAACCGGTAACTTTCAGTTCATCTGTCTTACGATGGTAATCTCTGTTACCATGGAACTGTTAAGATTTTTGTTTTTTCGAACCAAGCAACGTTTACTGGTATTTTGCTAGTTTCAGGTCGTTGTTGTATAGGCAGTATTATCGTTGTGTAATAAATTCAAACTTCCATAAAAACAAAAACTAAATTTTGCTGATCGAAATGGAAGAAGAGAAGAAGGAAAATGCAGTGACAAGCTGCAAGTTTGATCCATGTACTGCTGGTAGTAGCGAAAACAAATATCCATGCGAATGTTACTGCTTCAGACTTAGGTTACTTTTTCTTTCTTTCTTTTCATCTACACTAGTTATGTAAAACTTAATAAACAACTAATGCGATGCAGAAACTCATATACGCATAGGATGGACACATTTCAGTCGAAACGAAACACCTCTAGAACCGAATGTGCACTGTTTATGCACAGGGGAAAACCGACGCTACGGCATAAAATACCGATGCCGAAGGAAAGCGTTAACATTTTTATCGAACATTATTGATGGGAAAACTGTAGAACAATCATTTTGTTCGGTTAGTGGTATACAACTGAATTTTTGTTGGCGTATTCTGCTTATTCTTTCGTATATATCAAAGCAACATTATTTGTTGCTTTAAAATGAAAGAAAAAAATGGTATTATGAAAAGACAGAATTCATTAAATTATCGAGATTGACGCCATTGAAATATGATTTTGATGACTGTGATTTAGATTCACTCAGAAATGGTTCACCAACATCGATTATGCCTAGTTTGCTATGCTTTCTGCACGGAGGTAATTACTTGGTTGCTGTAGTATGGATTTCGGTTGATGTATAACAAATTAATCAAGAACAAATAGCACATAGGAATTTTTATGATAACGAGCTTTAAAAGAGTTTAGAAGAAGAACAAGAAATGCTAGGTGCTTTGTGATTGTTGATTTTATATGTTTTAGAGTTCTTCTGAAACGTTTAAAAAGAAACCTTAAACTGTCTGAAATATTGGTAAAGAAAATATTAAAATTATATCAAGTATGATAATATTATACTAGAACATAAATTTTATTCATTTGCTAGTTGAAAAAAGTAAAAAATGCTTCAAGATATCATTCCTTTGATATTTCATATGAAATTCTCCTATGTCTAGAATTTGGTCACTGTAAAGTTAGTTGGAATTGTCACTTCTAATTAGTGAGAAGGATAATGATAAGAAAAGACAAGTTAAAATAATCGTAAAAGTTTCGTCTAGTCTGAAAAAGAAATGATGCATAAGGCCGTTAAAAAGGAACTTAGGAAGAAATATTTGCAGTTCCTTGAAGTTCATTTTTTAAAAAGGATTATGTTAAAAATGGGTTGGTCTCTTTTTAGGGCGAACTGAAAGTATGTAATGAATTGGGAGTACAACATTGGATGCATGCTGATTGCTACCATTCATGGAAAGAAGCTTGCTGTCATTGCAATATTCTTTATTCTGCTTCATCTCATTTTACGTTATTTCCATACAAAGTAATTTTATATCTTAATATTAAATATATATATTGAACATTCTTTGCTGTTTAAAATTCGTCCATCATTCAGTTGCTTTGTTTTAGGACCCTCTGTTTGAGAAACTTGAAACTGTTTTTCCGAAAATGACTAGAGGGTTGCAGTTGAACGTCTGTAAGTTATTTTATTGTGAAATTGTTGATTGATTTACTACAATTGAACGTTTGCAAAACATCTGCAAAAAAAAATTTATTTACTTGTTTTTTACTAATTTGATATCTCTTCAGAAAATTTATTTATTTTTTCTTGTTCACTTGACACTTTTTTCAAGTGAATTTCAAGTTTTAGTAGCGCTTTGTGAGAAGGAAAACTATTCATGGTTAATATCAGAACTTGACACATTTCAATCTGTTCGCTCCAATAGTTTATCGTCAGAACGTCCGTTCTATATGAAAAGCCAATTACTTTTACATGAACTATGGGAGACTTTCCGAGCCGGTACTTCCAGTTAATTTTCACCATTAGTTGTTCATTTCTCTTCACCGTTTATGTCGAATTTACCATTACTATAAGTTAACCTCTATTTTTATAGATAAATCGCCTTATGAACATCGTAAGTACTATTTGGATAGCATAAAGTTTGCAATACAGTGCTGCGACCGCTTATCTCTATTAATTATACTCCAAGTAATTACCTTTTGTTTTATGAAAATTGTTGAGCGTTCAAAATAACAGTTCCTTATAATTTTTATGAATTTTCGGTATGTCCAGTCATTCAGCAAACATATTATTAAGTCTAATTTTAAATTTAAATTATAATATAATTCATTTAAAATAATTTATTTTTTGACTTCAGTTTTTGGATGTAACTGTAGATGGCGAATGTCTTCTTTTCGCTGTAGAAGCTAACGATGCTTTCTCTGTAAGAGTACTTCTGCATCACGGTGCTCCAATTAGTTTTCAGGTATTTTCTTCACGTTGTTGTTTTCTATTGCTCTTAATAAATTCAAGCTTGCATTTTTTTAAATTACAAAATTTTCACTGCAGAAGAAATCGGGAGAAAAAATTGATTCTTTAAGTGTGGCATTTGTACTTGGTAACTGTGCATCAGCAGAAGAAATTCTAAAATTCTTAAATTATCGCAGTACTCGAATGGTTTGTTTTTGTTTCATTTAATTCAAACTGGCATTTGTTTGTCGCTACAATCACAAATGCATAATTTGTTATACTGAACTAAAGTTGTTTGTGTTTTAGTGAAATGATATTCGTCAAAGTATACGAATTGGTTTAAATATACAATTTTATAGCAAGAATTTATGCGCAATCGTTTGCTAGAATTCATTAACCACCATGACTATCGTGTAGTGGATCTCCTCCTCGCTTACGGTGTCAACATTTATGATCGTAGCGAAAAAGGAAAATCAGTATTCCACAGAATGACCCAAAATAACGATCAGCAACTTGCTATTGCAACTGCAACCAAGTTATTTGAAAAAACAGTAATTGTACCATCTTTTATTGATGCTGAAGATTATCGTCATCGTACTGCCCTCCAATTGGCATGTGCAAGATGCCACTGGAAGCTGGCCGAGTAAGTTTCCTTTTATAAAAAAATTTTTTTACAGTCTTTTTTTACAAGGATACCGTTTTATTTGTATACTACATGATTTAAATATTTAAATATGTGAATTTATAGATTTGCTTGTCGAAAATATGCATTCTATTAGTTCTTCCAAAATTTCTGTGTACGGTGTTTATTACTTGGTTTGCGCTTTAGCGTCAAATTTAGTTCTGTTTTAACAATGTTATAATACACTTGTTTTCTTCCCGGTTTGCGTTTCAGTTTTTATCAAATCAATCTCTGCTTCTGTTTACTGACTTAATGTGTAAACGGCTTTTTCAACAGAAGGGGTTTAAATAAAAATTTTTTTTTTAATCATACAATATTCCTAGATTTATAAAATGTTTTTTTTTTATGTAAAGTGTTTATAAAATATGGGTAAAATAAGACTGTTAATGCTCAGATCGCAATTGCTAAGAGTCAGTCTATGACATATGTAATATGTATATTTTTACCTAATTTTACATCGTGATAAAAATGTCGTTAGCAATCGATTTATTAACTGATGTCAAACTAAAGGAGTTTTGCAGTGCGCTAGAAGAATTTTTGCAGCGGTAACACTTTGGTCAATTTTGTTATAACCTTTAAAAAAAATCTTTTTTTTGTTCCATGTTATAAATTATTATCTCCCTCAGCAGTAATGTTACTGGCGACGTAATTTAAGGATTTGATTACGTTTTTGATTATATTTTATTTTTTTCTACTTCTTTGTTGCTAATGTAATCATTTATCACTAAGTATGTTTCGGAGCTGTGTGAAGATTGCATTGCATGTTTATCTTATGTTTAAATTGCCCAACATCCGCTCTTCAATCTGTCCCCATTGAGACTTGGGATTTTAAGCAGGACCAGTGCCTGCTTGTCTTGTTCGCATTACGCAGTTTAACATAAATTGTCAAACTAATGTCCCCAAGAAGCTATGCTATAAATTTAAAACGAACAGGAGATCTTCCACTAAGTATATATTGTTTTTACTTTTATTTTTTTATTGTCAAATCTTCTTATGCAGTTATACATACTTTTTGAGACTTGATAGCTATAAAGATCTTCATCAGCTATGCTTATTTGTTTTTAACGAAAAAAAAAATGAAAGGCAGATGTTCCACATTAAGGTTTTTAGAAAACACATATTGTCGTAAATTCAATTTTGAACAGCATAATTTTGCTTCAGATATGTAAGGCGTAAGGCTTGTACTTTTGCTATGGATGTGTTGTTTTTGCACCTAAAACTCTATCGTCCTTTTATATTTTCCGTTTTTGCCTTAGACACCGTCATAGTGATCACTTTTTATACTGAAACTTTCTCCATCTTTATCACTTGTTGCGAGCTGAATTTTTCTTGCCTTCAATCTAAAAATATTTTAAAATTTGCTGTTAGTGATTATAATTGAAACCTGACGAATAACCCTCTTTGATGAAACAATAATTAATTTGTAATCCTGTTACCATAGTAAGTCTTCCACTTCACTGATAAACTTGTTTTTTCTCGATTTAGTGTTCTTCTGTTCTTTTTCCAATAAATGTATTAAATATATTTCACAAAAATTTTAATCATCATATTTTGAACGAGACGAAAACAGTTCTATCAGATGCAGTGTTGACCGGTAAGTGAGAGCTTATCTGACTATATTACAATTTTTTGTTTCACTTCATGTTGAATTAATAAAGAGCAAGAATAAGGATATTTCGAGAGAAGTTTTTAATTTGCAACAAACTCAGTTTACTCCTTACTTAAAGATGATCCTCAGTTCCTATTCTGCTCATGTTTAAGCAACTTATTTCAACTACATCAGTTTCTTCCAAAAATTTTCTTTTCATTCATTATGAAATCTACGGATTTGTTGTGAAGTAATCTTTTCTACTATCAGATTGTTTTAGAAATTTCTTTTTCGGTTATTATTTATGAAAAATTCAAGAGAAAATGAGGATGAGAGGTGAATGATTATCATCTGCTGTTCTTTTCGGTTTGAATAGTGAAATTTTTGGAATCTGCATCTTTATTTCTAACTCTTAGTGATAGCAAATAAACGGGAAGTGCATATTTAGATCTAATTTATACTCTTTTACATGCTTTGACGAATATATTTTCAGGATATTTTATACTGAGTTGTCAGCTTGTTTATTTAGTATGAGTTTTCCCAATTTGTCTTTTGTTCACAATTCCATTTATTTACATTTCATTCAGTTTAATTATTCTCTTATTTTCTGTTGCTGCTTATTTTCTTTCTCTTAATTGACGTTTTGTTCAGATCTTTGTTCACGAACTGCGTAATATTTCTTCTTGAGTTATTTCGTTTTAAGTTTTAGCACAATTTTTCTTTTTCTTTTGTTCTATGGATTTGGCTGTTTTGGTTATCAATATAGCCAAATCCTCTTGCATAATTTTTCAAAAAATCGGTTATTGGTCAAAATAGATTGTTTATTATTTATTGTCTTTTTCTAAATTACAGTTTTTTTGCTGTTACCTCTGGAATTTTATTTTTGAAGCATATTTGTCTCACATTTTCTTGCACATGTTTTATTCATTTGCATTTTTCAGTCTTTCAGTTTGTGTGAATTTGATAATTTATCGGTCTACTTACTTTTTCTCTAAATTCCACCGATCTCATTAGTTTTTGTTCTTGGAAAGAATAATTACTAACTATTATATGTTTTCAAAATACTTTCAATTTTTTTGCGGAGATTTCGAGACCACTTTCATTGAAATTTTTAGATTTTTCCTACAACACGGTGCTGCACCAAAGGGTTTGTGGACCGATATGAGATTGCCCGAATTTTTGCGCTCATACATTGATCGTGTTGGAAGGGAGTTGAAATTACGAAAGTTTCTGTCGGTCTCACGCAAATATATCACACAGTCAGAATTTTTACTGATGTTAATGTCAAAATACTTTTAGTTACAAGATGCCTGAAAAATGCCCGTAACACTGAGTTAACTTATTAACGTGTATCAGTACGTGTTAACGAACTATTGCTATTGCAGTGACATAACCATGGGTCGTGAACGTGTCGCAATACCTCTTGAGAATGGCACAGATGATGGAGCTACGTTGGATCCTAATTTTGAATATGTGAATGCTGTTGATGATCACGATTCATTTCAAACTCACATCGACTTTTCACTGGTTATTCTCATTTTTACATGTTCAGAATTATGGATTTGGTTCAATTATTTTTGGACTATGGGCATTTCGATCAATGATAATGGTCGGACATCTTTCATCACAAAGTCCTTTCAAGTAGTCCATCTGCTGGTGCATCTGGCATGCAAATCATATGAGCGGATGCACTGCACTGAATAACTGAATATTTAAATTTAATGAATTTCCTAACTGAGACGGTAGCTAATTTACTATCATTTCTAATTTTATGATTAAAGAAATAAAATAACCTTCAGTGTTTTTCGTAAGATTTTTTATTTCAGTTTCTCTACCACATCGCGATTATTTTTTAGGCATGTCGCTGCGCAAACGACTGTCAGGTTGATTGTCCTTGTTTGGCCCGCTGTACGTATGATGCAGATGGACATCTTACTGGTCGAGCAGTAGAATTGGCTGACAAAGCAGAATTAGGTGTGCTACTGGAATGCAGTTCATGCTGCTTTTGTTCAAATAAGTGCAGATCGAGAGTTGCACAAAAAGGTGTTCATTGCGGACTTGAGGTATGCTTTTTATATATGTCGAAGCTGCAGAATTCAAGTTAAGAACTGTTCTTAAATTATCTAAATTTGTAGGTTTATCGTACAAGGAAATATGGATGGGCTGTGAGGACCTGTTCTTTGATAATGAAAGGTAGGCTTTAGTAAATTATTATTGTAATATTGTACCTATCAAATCGTCCTCAAGTGTCACTTCAAGGTCTCTTCTGCTTGATTTCAGGAAGTTTTGTTTGTGAATATACTGGAGAACTTATCTCAGATGCAGATGCAGATAAACGCGAAGATGATACTTATTTATTCGAAATTGTGGTAAATTTTTCAGAAATTGATCGACCCCACGAGCGAGTATAGCATAGATATACCGGAGTCTCATATATGTGAATATATTTAATAAACCTATTGAGTGCTTTGGGATCCATTATTTCTGTAGATATTTTGAGATCATTTTGAAGCAAACATTTTTCTAGAGAATTTTCAATCAGACATGATCATGCGGCCAAAACATGAAAATTTGGAAAAAGAACAAATTAAAATTGTCAGGATGTAAGCATCTATTTAGTATTGGCATTAGATAAAGTTCTGAAGAAACTTAAGTGAACTCAAAACACTTACTTTGGTGGTTTGAGAAGTTTACGATGGTCAAGTTACTAGCATAAATTTTTAATGGTACCTTAAACTTTTCAAAGTTTCTTCTATGATTGCAGAAAATTCTCTTTAGCAATTGCAGTGTGTCATTTTTAGGACGAAACTTCAGCCTACTGCATAGATGCAAAATTCAAGGGGAATGTTTCCAGATTCATCAATCATAGCTGTGAAGCAAATTTGGTCACCCTCCGAGTTGTATGGGATGCAAATATACGTCATTTACCTCATATCTGCTTTTATGCTAAAAGAGATATTCAACAGGTGCATCAACAAAATTCTACCTGTTGATTTTCGTCTATACTTTCATTTCTTATGCAGCTTGTTTCCATAACTTAAGGGAGAAGAATTAACTATCGATTATGGAAACCAGTGGTGGGACGTGAAGTTGAGGAATTTTCCATGCCAGTGTGGATCGAAATCTTGCAAATATACTAGTACGGTAAGAGAAGAATTACTACGGGATGGATTTATCACTGCAGAAGAAAACAGAGAATTGGAAGAATCTTTTGGTGGCAAGTTATAAGATTTTCTTTATAATGATCATTTGTTATGTACTTTTTCATTTTAATTGAATATAATGTGGAACTTCATACCTGACTTGCTATTGGACTTACTGATGCCGATTGTTCCTGAATGCTTTTCCTCTTTTCTATTATTATTAGGAATAGTTATTGCATTATTCCCTTTGCAGCTAATACTATACATTATCAGTATCATTGAAATAAGCAGTTATACGGAAACTAATTTTGAATGCTACTCGTGAGTGTTAGCTTAACCACAAAAAGATCGAATTCTTAGTCCAGAAAAAATACTTAATGGCAAATTTTGTAGATGCAGACCTATTAGACTTAGTATTTACTCGAGATATTTCACGCATGCGAATATGTTCCGGAAGTTTCTGGTCTTTTTTAACAATCCTCCGTCCTAGTTTTATTTTCTATTATAGTGTGATATCGTAGAGCTTCAGGTAAATTATTGTTTACGTTCATTATAATACATTGCTTGAAACTTGCTGGCGTTGAGACACCGTTTTCAATACAAGTTGATAGTCGAATCTTCATGGAAACAACCATGAAGACGGTGTTTCGTGTAGCTATGATAATCCGTACACGATTAAGGATTATTTGAGAATCATTTTCATACCTGACACATTCCTATTGATAATTTACAGGACCAGAGGGATATCGGCATTCAACAAATCACAAAACCTCCGGATCACAAATTAAACGTTCTTGTCACGGTTTGTTAAAATTTTTTGTGCCTGCTCTGCAGAGGGCTTACAAATACACATTCATACTAAACAATCTTACAGTTATTTGCTTAGTTTTTCAGCAACTGAATGCTCTACTTAAAGAAGCATGTTCAATTTGAAATGGTAAACGGGAAGGAATTCCTTTGAAACTCATTTATCAGCTGCATAAAAAAAAAAAAAAAACAATTAAGACATATAAATAACATAGTTATATATGCCAGCGTTTAATGGCATACAAAAAGTTAAAACGATCGTAAACTATTTTAAGAGCGAGATCGTGGAATCTATAAATACAGAAACCCGTGGTCGGTTTGTGAACAAACGTATAATCCCTCGATCTTTTTTTGATTAAGGTCTGGAACTTACAATGATCAAATTCTTTTTAATATTAAGCCAAAAACTTGGAATTCTTGGTAAATAAATCTCCTGATACTGACTTTATATACAACTTGTAAATATGAACATTTTATAAACTACATCACTGCCAACCAGAAATGATGTATAACTTTGAAACATATTGTCAGGATATATAACAATTCATAAAAGAAGATTCAAACATATTTAAAACTGGATTTATTTCCACTGCTGCGAATTGCTGTAATCATGGGGGTAGGACATCGGCGCTCCGGGGTTACGATATGTGGTCCGTGGATTTACCCAGCTTTGATTTTGTGGAAACTGACTCGGATAATTTATCGAGTGCATAGAACTTTGTGGCGGTTGTGATATTGGATACTGAGTAGGATACATGTCTTGATTTTGAATTTGTTGCTGCATCTGTTTCGCACTATTTTTTGGCGTTGGGATGCTGACGCATACACTTTTACCTTTGATGATAAAGTCGCGTATTTGACAAAACCGTTTCGTTACATTTGGATCATTCACCGTTACAAATGCAAAACCACGATGAGGTTTGGGGATGAATACTCGTTCGACCTGAGAAAGAAACTTGCAGGATTTCCTTCCAAAGATTAAGAAAAAAATACAACTTTTCCCCTTCCCCCGCTTCCCCTCCCCCACTACTCTGAATCTTGACTTCAGGCTTTAAGGAAACAATTTTTTTTATAACTTTGTTTCTAGCACCCTATAACTTTGCCTACAAATGTATAAACAAAGCAAACTGTCTGTTTCACATTTATCTGGGATCACCATTTCAGAATTTTTTGTGCATTTTGACATTTCAAATTATATCATTGCCTATTCAATAACACTGAAGCAGGAAGAGAATAAGGAACTTCGGTCATCAGATCCAAACAGAAAGAAATTATAAATTCAAAAGAAATTAGTTTTTATTAATAAACTGCAAATAAGGGCCATCTCTCTTTAGTCGAATTAAAAAAAAAAAAAAAGAAACCTTGGCAAGAGGAGAAAGTCTCTTTGCTTCCGCATCGAAAACATCGAATATATCTTTTTCTGTCAGCGTATTCCACACACGTCCAACGTATAATTTTGTTGAGATTGTTTCTTGAGCAGGGGGTATTTCAAAAGATGGCTGCTGAGAAATTCTGTTAGTAAAGTGGTTTGGAAGTTTCACCTGAAACATGAGATTAAAAAGCATAGAAAAAACGGCTTAAAGAAATGAAAAAGGAGACGGAGGAGATGAAACTAAGGGTTTATTGTAAAGTCGAGTACCATAAATACACAGGAATTTCTTGTCATGAATCATAATGTAATTTACTTCATTTAATATTCCAGTCGATGTTGTTTACGTAATCGAATCTAACTATCGTATATCAAAATAATACTACAAAAAAAAAAAAAAAAAAAAAACGGAGACAATAAGGCCAAAAAAATGCTTCCTTCAAACCATTACTACATTAAGATAGGTATGTGCCGCTAACCTGTGTTACCCTCCCATCGATAAAAACTTCTTTATCCCGAAGCACTTTGTCCTGCGATTCAATATCAGCGAATTTCACAAAACCATAGCCTTTTGGCATATTGGTCTTAAAGTCACGTTTGACCTATAAATGTATGCAATTAAGTTGACATCAATATTTCATCTATTAATGGAAAAAATGAAGTTTATGGAAACTTCGTCCTAAAAAATTGAGTAGGGTGAGTCATCATGTTAAGTTAGAAAAACGCGTCCCGCTCAAAAACACATACGTACACACTTTCAAACAGACAAATAGAAAGAACAATCGATCAGAGCAAACCTCAACATACTGAACTTCACCGTATTGTTCGAAAAATTTTTTGAGCGCCTCCTCATCTGTTTTGAAAGAGAGATTGAGAACGATTAAATCTACCGGTACACGCAAACTTTCATTCAGACTACCATCCCAGCCAGAGCGTTTTTCCCCTACTAGATCCCCCATATCATCGTTTGACCGCCGTTTTCGATCACCTGCTGCTAAAAACACAAATTCATTCAAACATTTCTCGCAAACCAATCCTGTTCACATTCATTTTGCTTAATTTAGCAGACGTACAAAGAGATTCATGAATAATATCAACAGGGAAATGCAACATAACTTGGTTTATCTTGTTTACTGTTTGGTTCAAAACAAAGAATTATTTGAATTTAACATCATTAAGCAACTTAGTTAAAGTAATCTGTTGCCCATATATTTCTTAATAAATACAACTGTTAAAAATTCTATGCAAGTATCACTGTAACGAGTGGTACTTCAAGAAATCAATCAAAACTTACGAGATGCAAAGATAGCTACATAACGTCGCGTTCCCCAACCACCTTTTGGTGGATAAATGCATCGCTTTTGTTCATCTACTCTACAAAGATAAACAAAACTAGTAAATGTCAGGTGAATTAGTTTATTACCATATGTTCATTCAAAATGTATACTAATAGATCCAAATATATACGCTAAAGTTCGATAGATTCCAGTCGTCTGATTTTTGAATTTTAATCCTATAGCTTCAGGGAACGAATGTGCAAGTGTAGCTATCGGTAAGTTACCATCGTCGTCAACAGGAATTTCAAGCATATTATTGCCATCTTCAGCGGAACCTACGCTTATATATCCATCAAAATCGACCGCTAAAAGAAAAAACTTTAGATAACAAAGGACCCAAACTATCCATGACAATACTGTCCTTCTTGATCCTGATTTAAGAAATTCCTAAAGACAAAGCCCTATTAAAAACCCGCTAAATTTGTTTATTAATAAATAAAAACTGCAGTAAAACACTACAATTATGAAGTCTTATAAGCCAGGGAAGTACTTTTGTCAGCGATTTTACCTGGCAAAGATCAAGGAGAACTTCGAGATGCATAAGGCCAACATTCGTGAATTTAACAAAACCTACAAGTGGGACCTTTCCTAACAGACTGTGCATCAACAGATAGATCCGATGTCTCCACATTCAACTTCGTCTCCGCATCTTTTATTTGTTCGAACATTGCGTTGTTCTGTAAAAACAAAAAATGTAGCTTGGTTTCAAATTCAGAAACTTATCGACTTTTAACAGGGAATAAAAATTAAATTGTAAAAACTCCGCTTGACTATTAAAGTTTGACAGCCGTAACACTTAACGAGTGCGTTAAGTAGTACATTTCAAAAAAATTTGAATAAAACAACCGTAACATTTTGTGGTTGAGAAAAGAAATAAAGGAATTGGCCAGGGGAAAAGAAAAACTATAGTACAGTTTACACAACTCATTTGTCCAACTTAAAAGTCATGAACACCCTCTTGAATGCAAGTACCGGCAACCCTCCCGCGACACCTCGAGACTAAACACCAATAAACAGAAGACGAGCAACTTCACTCTACCCTAACGCAAATGTACAGCATCATCAACTGTTAAATTCGACCAGTTCCATTGTTCGTCCTTGCATATTTCGCGCCGCTAACTATGAAAGCTACTATGAAAGGGGTTGCTTTCTATTATACATTCGGGGTAACTTACCAAGGTTGTGGGCAGAGTTGACCGGAGTATTGTCAATATTGTAAATAACCGGATATTATGTATATTTACACATTTCTGCATTCAGTATACATTTAAATACTCATATGCGTCTATGACGTTATTTGTGCGTCGTAATAATAATATGCATTAAATGCAGGTAATGGAGAGCACAAGGTCGAGAAATCGTACAAACTCAGTTGGCAGTGATACACAGGCAACTAGAGATGTGCTACATGCGAAGCTTTCTCAAATGGTATGACTGTTAGGATAAAAAATTGAAATGATAGTAACTCCTTTTTCCTTTCCGTTTCGCTCCATGTCTATGCAAAATGGTAATTTCGATAATCTTTCAGTGGCAAGTAATTCACAGACGATGCCTTCCTTTTTGGCTCTTCTTCCCATTTTAAGTATTAGGAAACACTTGCAATATTGATCAGTTAGACTGATCCATCGGTTGATATTCATTAATTTATTAGGTATGAAGTAATAAAAGTGATGTCAGTGTAATAACATAGAAGCAAAGAATCGTGTATACTACTGCATCAGTGCACAGTGTATCATTATCGTTATATGCTTATAGGTTTGGGAAGCAAGTACCAAACAAATGAAAGACACATTAAATTCCTACGGTCGTATCGACTTATTTAGACCCTACTTTGATGTGGAACCACGTCAAGTCCGAAATCGCTTGATACAGTCTTTCATACCTCGGAAACCGTCGCAGATGCATGTTTCTAATGATATGTATGGACCAACAATGATTATCCTTACTTTGGTCGCCTTGCTTCTCTATTCTATGAAATCATCTGGGTAAGCTCTTCACTGTGAGAAAAACAAAACTGCAGACAACAGTGTAGTTGTTGAATTTTCTCTTCTCAGCTAAATTTTGCTCTAATTACTTTCGAACTTCTTTGTGATAAATGTACTTAGCGGCTTATTTTTATAAGCTTGCATTCTCTGAAACCAAGTCTTTCTTTCCAAAGCTATTTTAACAGGTAGTTTTTTAAATGAAGAATTCCATATTTCTGCAATAACGTAATGATTATTAAAAAGTGGACCTTTGTAAGTTTATGCAAGTCAAGATTTAGATAATCACACATAATTGATAGCTTTGTGTATAGAGTTAAATCTTATAATTATTTTGAGATAGTACAATCTCAGGTATACTGTTAAAGATGGTACTTTAATCGGTACAGCAATGGTTACTTGTTTCGGTGCTTGGTTTTTCATGTCTTTAGTGATATATGCATTGTGCTTGGTATTTAGTGTGGATATATCTTTCATCCATTTCTTCTCGTTATATGTAAGTCTTTCTGTAGTTCCTAAATTATTTAAGATAGTTTCTTTAGAGAGATGGCAGTACTGACAAAGAGTTAAGTAGAAACAGAAGTGACTTCGCCTTTTTCATTTAAATTCGTTTTCTTTTTCAGGGATATTCTTTATGCAGTCACTGCATAGTACTTTTACTGACAATGATATTGCATCCACTGCATTCACATTTATTCTTTTATGCAATGATGATCATCTTTTGCGTCCCGTCCGTCTTACGAGTGGTAAAAAATCTTATGCCCAGAGTTTGTGAAATCACTTGGTTTATTTTTCAGTGGTTGCCCCATCTATGACTTATATTTTAGAGTTTGTATTTATGTTCACGGACTCATGACAAATCTCACAAATTAGCTATTACTATGGCAGCTTATGTATTGCATCTCAGCTATCTTTGTTACTTGCATTACGGTTTCCACGTCGTTGTTGAAGGTAATCTTTTTATGTCAATGAGTTTAATCGTAGCAATAGATGCCAAAATGTTATACATGAAGAAATGCGTAAATTATAATTGTGAAGAGAAACTAAAGTGTACTGAACTGTTACAACTACATTTTTTGCCACTGAAGATTATGCTTAAATAAATTACAGAAATTGATGGAATTCTTGGCGATGTGCAACAAAGTTCAGTCGTTTCTTTGCCGTTATCACTGAAATCATAAGCTTAGCTATGTTCCTCTTTGTTAATGTAATCCATCAAGTCTTTCAATTTAATACAATTGGTGTACAAAATGCAGACTTTTTGCTGAATGCGGTCCATGAATTTTATTGAGATATCACTTATCACTCTTTCAGCTTCCGTAAAATGCATGCAACATTAATTATACGTTTCGATAATGGACGACATCGGTTTGACCTACTAAGCGTCATTTCTGCAGTTCAGCATGCTGTAGGACAGTAGAGTGTTTTCTTTTAACACATGAGTTGAAATCTGGAAGAGGAAATAAGGGAAGGGGGAAGCAGTTTGAGAACTTGACAAGGTGTTAGTAAATCGAGAGTTGTTCATTTATGTAATAAAGCAATGTTGAAAAGGTACTCATTTTTTAAAGTGAGCAGACGACTTAATTTCAATGTTTTTACTGCATACATATAAGACGGTTTTTACTAGTTCTAGTAAGAAATGTAAAGAAGTAATGCTTTACCGAAATGTGTAGCTTGTTTTTTCATACAAATCTTTATTAAATGGAGCTTTTATCAACGTAGCGATCTTCAAAAGGAGTACTACTTACTTTCCGTTCAATCTGTAACTGAAGATGCAGAATACTCCGGATATAAAAAGCTTTCGTTATAAATGTCTGATTGAACTTCTGCCAAGAAATAAACTGGTATCGTTAATGAAATGTCCATACATTTAATTCTATTCATTCATGTAAGGCATATGAAATTATAATAAGAATAAAACGAAAGCCTATATGATAGTGATGACTTCTTGTGTCTTGACCAACTTAAAATGCGTTGTACATTGATTTCCCGAGATTAAAGGATTCTATAAACCTGCAAAAACAGGAATCTGACAAATTTAATCTTTGCTCATCTGAAAGCTACTGGAATAAACACGAACAACTTTTTGTTCATAAAATATGAATGCGTGATTAGAATGAAAGGAGAGAAACAAAACGAATTTTGGATTGAAGGTATCTGCCTTTAAAAAAAAAAATATTCTGAAGCGAGAAGGCATTAGCCCATGTACTGAACCAAAAATAAGATTTGTCAAGGCAGTTCACATGCATTATGATATCGATAACATATAGGAGACTAAAACGGTTTTCGGATTCTGTGATAAAGTTTCTTAAGGTCATGCTTTAACTGTTTAATAACAACAACAACAAGCTGCGAGTAAAAATCAAAAGGTAGAACTTCAACAAAGTAGAAAGTAAAACTTAAATCACAATCATATCTCTGAATATAGAAATAGACGACAGGAACCAAACATGCAAGTTCTGAGCTGAAGGAAACTTTAGTATTTTAAATGATCGAAAACCACGTGTTCTTCGACCATCACTCCTGCTCGAGCCGTTTTCTGAAATAAGTGCATTTGTGATCGATTCCACTGCATACAAACCAGCGATATATTGAAATGGAATATACTCGCTAACAAATGTCTTTCGATAATATATAGTATAGGTCTAGGATGTAAAATGTGCTTAAGCATATTCCGGGTCTTTTCTCCCAGATGAATCATAAAAAAGAAAAAATATTTAAATAATTCCGGCAAAATTTAAAGGAAACCTTAGCCATTATTATTTCATCATCCCAACGCATTGCTTCAATTTTTTTAATTGCGGTAACGAAAAGGGTTTTAGCTTTATCCGAAGATTCTTGCATTCTTTGAGCCACCAAATCAACTGATACCTTAAAATCGACTAAACTGAAAATATTACATAGTAATAAAATGCTTCAATATCTCAAAAATCCTTCTTTCTTTTTCAAAGTTCCTTAATCTTGCTTTCTTTTAATTAAAATTAAAACAAGAAATATGACCTTTTCACCCTCTCTCCAGCAATCATAATCTGTTACAATAGCAGTTGTTGCAAATGGAATCCCCAATTCTTTCGCCAGATAAACCTATTAAATAATAATGAAGATATGGAATTTATGCATTGAAGAATGCAAAAGCTCCAGTACATTCAAACTACTTGAAATTTCTACAGAAATGACCATCTACATCTAAATAAATCACAGTTTTGATAAGAAACTGGAAATTGTTGGCTAAAAAGCCTGCCACTGTCTATAATCTTAGTTGATCAAATGACGATAGTATGAATCTCTTTTGACTGGTGGTACCAGATGTTATTATCAAAACTTACTTCTGGACAAACGGTCATATTGATAATATCAGCATTCCAGCCACGGTACACTTCACTTTCAGCTCGAGAGGAATATCGCGGTCCTTCAATACATATTGCCGTTCCAGTTTTGAAAATTTTGTATTTGAGTTCTTCAGCAGATGAAATTAAGATCTAAAACAAATAACCATGGTAAGAGAGAGTAAGCAAATGGTTTATTTATTTACTTTAATTTTTTAACTTTCTTCTTTTTTGAACAAAAATTCCAGATATTTCTTGGGCATTGTCAAATCAAATACAAATTCTTTTCTAAGGAACACCTGTCTTAGTTTTTCATTGTACGCTGGATACATGGGAATGTGACATACACCTTTAGGATGGCCATTCTTACCATCATGGAATGTTACTTCACGCTTGAATGTTCTGAAATTAAATGCTGAAATATTGTTTGATTAAAATTAGAAACATATAGAAAGAAATAAATGTATCAGAAAAAATGAAAAAATTTTTCCACCTATCAATGAAGGAATCCAAAAACACAAATGAACCCGGTGTGACTTCTTCTTTTAAACTTCCGGATGCTGCTGTAGACAAAATGACTTTTGCTCCTTAAATGAAAGATATAAAGAATCATGTAAATTCGAAAATGCACAAATAGTTCAAATTATCGGATTATGCAGAAAAGTTCTCAAGAACTATTTAAAGAGTGTAGTGTGACAAAATTACCTTGCTGCATAAGGGCCCACAAATTTGCTCGATAATTGATATTTGTTGGAGATACATTGTGTTCCCGACCATGACGTGACAGAAGAATACAGGTAGTATTGCCAACTTTCCCTTCGACAAGAGCATCTGATGGAGAACCAAACGGTGTACTCACCTTGTACTCCTGTACATTACTAAATATTTTCGGGTCCTCAAGACCAGTTCCTCCGATGATTCCAATCTAAACAATTCATTGCTTCAGCGATTCTTGTTTACTCTATAATCCTATTAATATGGAAAACATCTGTAATATAGGAAATTAGAAAAAGGCATCCTGAGATATTTTCTATATGTGGTAGTTCAGAACACATTTTTACTAGAAAAGACTGAATACTAAATTGGCAACCTTGAAGTCCATTGTTAATTACTGGTCCTTTGAAGCAGCACGGATTTAAATTGTTGGTTGACTTCTTTCAGTGTATTCGCACGCGGTAAACAAAATATGAGTGAGTGTACGGTACGAAGAAAAAAATAGAAATGGTAGGACCAAACTTTTGCAGAACTCGAAAAATCGAAAAATGAAATTAAAGGAATGGCCTACCAAATGGAACCATCAGCAATCATATAAATTCAAAAACTTAATATTAATTTAAAATATCGAATTACTTGGAAAGATTTTTTTTTCAGATAAATGGTGTATTGAAACACAGCAGCAAAGAAAAATAAAACTCACTAAGAAATGGGATTTTCCAAAACCTTATGAAAACATTAAATTAGAAGGCGTTTGGAAGGCTACACGCAATTGAGCATTTAAATATGATCTATATACCTTCAAAAAACATCAAATCATGTCTAAAATAAAATAATTAAACTCACTACAGTTGAACATGTCAATGAATTTTTGTCTTTCTCAGCTAAATTTCCTTGGGAGTAATTTCTAACTTCATTATGATAAATGTACTTAACGGTTTTTTTTTTATAAATTTGGAATTTCTGAGACCAATTCTTTCTTTTCAAAGCTATTTTAACGGGTCTTCTTTAAATGAAGAATCCCATATTTCAGTAATAGAGTTATTAAAAAATGGAACTTTTGTAAGTCCATGTAACTCAAGTTTTATATCATGTATGATTGATAACTTTGTGTATTGATAAGTTGATCTTAAAATTATTTTGAGAGAATCTCAGGATTGCTTGCGAAATGGTCTTCAGAAGCACACTCTTGAAGGTGATAAATTTTGGAATTTTAGCCTATTTCACATCTCAATATGCTGTTATTTGCATATGACAGGAAGTCAAACTTAGAACTATCCACTATCCGACAAAGCACTTGTAAGACAGATACAGTAAAAGAAATGGACTTATAATAAAACAAGAAACGTTTGGCCATAATTTTAAGTCCTTTTTCTTTCTTTTAAAATAGTAAGCTTTTTTATGAAAACTTCACTACTGAGACAGCTAGGATAATTCCGACTTATACTAAAAAATATAAAAGCCAACATTAAACTAGCATGCTTAATGGATTTCTCCGAAAATCGTACTGTATTATATTAAGAATTAGGAGTGGTAGAACTTTGATAATTTGTTGCAAGAAGAATATGTATAATACGTTTCTTTATAAAAACTTCACTCGGGAATTGATTGCCATGTGGTCAAAACCAGATTTAATAAATGGACTAGATAACCACTATTTTCTGAAATGTTTGAATTGATGGAAAGAAGGAAAGATGAGATTGCTGGCATGCATATAGATTGTTATATATCGAAATATTTTCAAATTTTCAAATCTAAAAAAATATGACGTATGTAAATGAGCCAGAATAGCCCAGAACATATCGTTTCTGATGATCCTAAGGCTATGTTAATGACCTATTCTATAAATGTTTTGCAAAACATAGCAAGATCTGGTTGATTTCTATACGACAAATGAGGATGAATGTGGCTGATATCATACAGAAAGGGAGATGAGAGCCAGGATGTTTCGTCCCTAATAATCCTAGGCTCCAAAAGAACTTGTCAAAGTAACACATCCTCGGTTGTTCCCATCTGTTCGTTCGATGCATAGCAAGCCAATCCTGAACCTGTTTGACCATTGCAAGTGGACAGAGTGAAGGAAGGGACGGCGAATTGCATAATTCTAGCTACTCTCTAGACTTCAAAAAAAACCGAGGAAATCTCGGTGCATTTTCAACCGAGGTTTTTTTTTTCTATGCATATTACATCAGCGCTATTTCTTAATAGTTTAATGGGAAATTTAATCATTCTTGGTATAATAATATCGCGAAATAAGAGCTTTGAATGAATTTTTCTTCTAAAAGATATATATCTCGATATATTTGAGAAATGGACAAATTGTACTTACATCATTGAGGGAACAACAATGTAACGTAATATGGTGGAAATGCTTATTTGTATTTATCATATATTAATACTAATATCTTATAATTCAATATATCTGTTGTGTGTTTTATTGAACGTACTAAACGTACGGCTGACAATCTTAGTTCGGCTTAATTTTGGGTAGAAGAAGCAAATAGATATTTTAAACATCTTGATGAATCATGCTAAGGTTTATTTCCCGATTAGATTTATTTTTCTTTTTACTTGATGAAGAAGGAGGAGGAGAAATATCGGAGTTCCATGCTTGTTTCATCGAAAATTGTTAAAAATATGATCGATTCTTATCCATGCAGCTGTTATTGATCCTTTTCAGGCAGCAGCCCTTTCATCTTTGATCTTTGCATTGATTACAGTTCATAACAAGGAGATTTCACTTTTCAGTTGAATAAACAGTTCACATTCCTTGTTCATTCTTACAATTATTTACATATGAGAAGAGTGTTTTAGTGATTTATGAAATGAAATGAGCAAAATTAGTTGAAATTGAAATGATGCAATCAGGCTTGCCAATAGCATTTGTGTGTTGGATGTTTGCTTAGAACGGTCAGTTGGCAATAGTTCCGTGCTATGAAGTTCTTCCGTAGACAACAACACACTACTATTAGATTGGTTGGTCTTCACTTTTTTTTCCTAACTTCCTTTCAATTAATTTTTCATTTCTCCCTATCTGCGCAGTCATTCAGTAATGAACTAAAGATATACTAATTATAAGGTGAACCAATCAGTTCATGGCATCGTTTGCTACCGGATAACCAATGGTAGAATGCTCAATTTCATCTCTTCTCACATAATTCGCATCATAGTGGGATCAGCTGAGTGGGTCCGGAATAGGAAAGGTAAATGACAGATTAGACTGGAGTAATCTCATGATAAGTGGGATGTCGCTCTTTATGTTGTTTTTACAAAGAAAAGTTTTAAAACGGATGGAGGTTTTGCAGAGTCACTTCTTATTACTGCATACGTCGAATAATTCTGTTGTTTGGAATTACAGAGAAAATGGCGCCCGTTAGTATATCACGTTCTACTATACGATTGCTACTCTGTAATGAGTTTAATTATCACGAGCAGGACTCACTGAATCAGTATGATTAGTAAAATCACCCTATAAATACTAATTTTGTGAAATATTTTTGCACCTGCCTTTAAAATAATACGAAATATACCTTTTTTCTCTTTATATTGCCTTTTGAAATTCATTTGGTTACAAAAGTTGCTGAGTTAGGTTACCATTTTTCAAACGATTTTTCTGCATTAAGCATAAAGTCGTGATACTCTTCTACTCCTGTTTTCTTGTTTTAGATAAGAAAGGAAGTAAGTTACATGTTGTTAAGACTATTCTTTCTCTTTCACTTCTGTCCAAATAATTTGCTCTCTATGCTTTTTAGAATATACATTTATTAAATAAATGCAAACTGCCAATTTTGCAATCTTTTCATTCCGTTCTTTACGTGGGTTGGTTTCACGTTTTTTCGTCTTTTGAGCTATCTCTTAAGATTTAACGGACATACCAAACAGACCACAGACACTTTTTTTCGGTTGCATATTTTTTTATTCAATTTTGCACTTAAAAAGAAAAAAGCTAAGAGGAAAAAAGTCTTCATTTATGTGAATTTAAAAACAAATATTGACTTTGAAGGTTCAGCTTGCAGCCTGGTCATACTTGTTATTATTATTTCAATACGATCAGGTTTATGAAATAAGAAATACTGCCTAATTCTCATGATCTCAGGTTCAACTATTTCTTTATGGCACAAATTTATGGATTCTTTGGTTCCTCCAAAAAGTTATCCCATCCAATTTTTGTCAGTTTATTTCAACGAATTTTTTCAACACAGACTGGACCTGCAGGAAAATATATCTCGTAAACGGTCACTGTAAGGACAGGATGATTATAGGTTTTAGCCTACTTTTTATTTGTTTGTTTGTTTATCGCGCTATCGTTGATCTTTTCAGTTTACTAGCAGTTATGAAATTGAAACGTATTTCGAATAACGTAGTGAAGTTTTATCTAACCCGTTGGAAGTGTAATTCAAGTATTTAAACCTTTCTAAAGCAGTATTGTTGAAGGTCTATGACTGATATCTAGTCTTCTTAACAACTGAGGTTGATGAGGCGCACATCGATAAGCCCATAATAGTCCAATTGAAATATGAGAACGTCGCCTTTTCATAAAGAAATTGATTAATCTTTCTCAACTCCTAATTCAGCAACTTTATTTCTTTTTAGATCCCAAGAATGCATAGTTAACGCATTCTCGGTTAATATTATGGTTCGTCTAATTTGATGATTGTGTAACTTCCCTTTCTTTCTTTTTTATTCCGCCTTTATCTCCTTCCATTGCCATTTTTTTCGAGGTCATGCGGTCAATTTTACTAGAGAACATGTTGTTATACATGGTATGAACCTTGTAGAACCTCATTCTGCTGTATATCGATCTCTGTGTGTTATGCAACCATCAGTTACAATTATAGTTTGACTTTCCGGTTTCTCAAAGCGACTTTCATTTGATCATTGATAGGATAGCTATGCTTCTAGCTTATTTCAATATGAGTTGCATCCTAAAAGAATCTGATTTTGCCGCCAATTACTGATTCTCTTCCAATGAATAGTGCAAGCGCAACAAAATCCGCAAATTCTATGCTTTTCTATAGCGTCTCAAACAGTTAGACCTTTAGAATTCACTTTTAAGCTATGTTTTGTTGAGTATCAAAGAAAATGAAAGGAAACGGCAAACAAAAAAATAAAAAGGAAGGTGTGATTTAGAAAATGAAATAGCCTTGGAAATGCTTTCATGAAACGAACGACAGAAAGGACATCCGCTATTTTAGGAAGTTTCCTGAGGGGATTTGTTGAATCGGTTGATTAGCAGGACACCGTCATTCTTTAATGGAGCTTCCTGGTAATAGAAAAATGGCAGAGAAACAATGATTTAGAATAGCTATCGAGAAAAAAAGTTAAATAATAGCTTCCACTAGTTTTCTACTGTTAAATTAGAAGATCCGAAATCATTGCCTTTCAGAGGACAATGTATTAGATATACTTATTTTGACACTATGAAAACGTTTCATTATTTGCATCCATTTGAATATATCTGTAGTTAATCAAATGATTTATATGTGTTATTGCTGATTAAGTCTTTCATTCTTGAGTAAGTATTTTTAAAAGTAATGAAAAATGTGTTCTGGTATTTATATGTGAATTGTGACGATGTTTAGCAGAAAAATTTCTGCTTTTTGGACTAATATACTGCCCTCATGAAAAAAAATGAAGAGTTGAATGTTGACTGATTCGTTGTTCTGTTTTGATAAAATATTCCTTTTGCCGTATTTGTTACTGGTACTTCAATATGTTGATTGTAAATGCAGCACTTCTTTCTGACACCTTTATTGGTGAATAATGTTATTGAATTTCAATTGGTTGGGATCTATTGACGGATTGGGTTATTTATTATAGCACTTATACAGTTTGGTTAGCTTCAAATGTAGACTTCCCAATATGTTTTATTTCCAATTTTCAGAGTAAATTACAGCAATTCAATCTTAAATAACTTCAATGGAGATAGTGAAGACATTGTCGCTATTTTTGGTTTTATGTGTTTTCATGATGGCCTTATTAAATCTTTTTTTTTTTTTTTTTGTTAATATGTCATTTCTGTAATTTTGCTTTTCCAGATGAGTTCGGATGCGGCCACAACCGCACAGGAAGTGACCGAAGATAGCCAGTTGAATGATGATGAAGCACTGACTGGAAAAGAACTCATGGAACAAGTTAATGACGTATATGCTACACCGATTGCCGAACATTTCCCTATTGAAATCGAAAATCCATCAGCGACAACAATGTCTGTCAGTATTTCAAACGATATTACAATATCCTCAAAAATATCAACACAAGTCGAAGAATTTCCGGTGACAAATAGCCCACTGAGAGTTCCGTTAGTGCCACCACGGCATAGAAAACGTCGCGTTACGGAATTGAAATGTTCTGAAGTTAGGTGGTTTCACCGAAAAAGCGGAACGGAAACGAAATGGACTGCTTTTAAAGGTTAATTTTTGTCGTAAATTTAACACTTCCAACTTTAATTACTTTTTTTTTAAATACAAAGTTGTGAGATCGTGCTGGTATTTTCAAATAAAATGATACGGTGCCTTGTACAAATTTGACTCTAGGAGTAGATTCATTATTGTTGGAAGTGTACTGGCGGCAGCAAATGCAAATTGATTTGGATCAAAATACCGAATCCTACCTGCAAACATTGAAATTGTCTACATCAGTTGTGGTATTAGACGGATTATATCGAGCCTCCGAAGACCTCACTATGTTAAATTCCATTTATTGGAAAGGTCTCGTTTAGTTTTCTATAGAAGTTGTTTTTGAAGTATTTTAGTATTAAGGCTTCCCTATTTTAGACCATTTTTCCAGAACTTTTCATTTTTTTAGATTACATATATTAAACATATGCATATATTAAATTTATTCTGTATTTCTTGATTTCAGTTTCTTTCGTTCAACAAGAAAAATTTTAGATGACACCATCGAAATTCGTCGGGGCACATGGTTTCTAGCAGAAAATTTGCAGCCAATTGATCCTAGTATGGCTGATCCCATTGAGTCGCATCATTTACATATTTTTCGCTCTCAGACAATCCCTGACGCCCCAGTTTTTTCAGACAAAGAATCAAGCAAAAAACCAAGTTAGTTTTTGATACTATTAGTTCTTGGAAAGTTCAGTTTTGCGGCAGTAATTTTTTTCATATGTTTTTTGAGACTAGAGTTTATATTTTGAAAGAAATCGTATTATTTCGAATTCAGTTACTTCGACCCAATTTTCAGTTCTTGCGGAACTCAAACTGCAGGATCAATATGAAGTGCGGTGGAATTCTGTTATTGATATCACGTTGTATAACAATTCCAAAACAAGTCGACTGCTGCGTTACATAACTTGGGGTAAAGGAACTCCTCTAAAACGTGGATATGAAGAAGCAGAATGGGATGACGGTAAACGAATCATTAAACATTTGATTTTGGTTGTTCACGGGATTGGTCAGAAAGGATATGAAAATCTAATTGCAAAAAATACTGATCAGTAAGATTTTCTACTTGACAGATGTAATTCTGACTAGTCTTTTGCTTTACATTTACTTTAATATCAGATTCACTGTATATTGTTGTTTTATTTCCGGCATAATTGTATTGCAGTTAACGTGTGCAACAAGAGCATTCGCTTATTTCATTTATCAAGTTAGGTTTAAAATCAGCAAAAGCTTTTTGTTGTAGGGTTCGTGAGGCCATATACAATTGCATGGATAAACATTATCCGGATGAGAAAAGTCGTCCAATGGTTTTACCAGTGGAATGGCGAGCAGCTTTAATTTTAGATGGTGGTATTACCGATTATGTCACTTTGCCAAAGATGTCCTCAATGCGTAATACTTTAAATTCGACAGCAATGGATATTATGTATTATCAGTCTCCGCTGTATCGAAATGAAGTGATTTTTGCATTGATATATGTTCCCTTTGAATTATTGCTGTTGTAACATATTTTTTCTTATGTTTCTCATTTGCTATAATTACCTAAATGAATCATCAACTAAACTAAATAATTGACTACAATGCAACAAGTTTTTTTTTTCTTTAATTTCTTCGATTTTGCAGGTTTTATTATTCTTTTTGTTATGCCTGAAAGGAGTAAATGCATATCGGAAGTAATTCTGTTAGATTTTTAGATCATGGAGGGTTTGATACGGTCACTAAATAATGTCTACAGTTTGTTTATGGAAAATCATCCTGATTTTGATGGACCGATCTCAGTTTATGCTCACTCGCTTGGTTCTGTTATGTGCTATGATCTGCTGACTTGTTGGTCTCCTCTTGTTTTGTATGACAAATATGTGGCTGAAATGATTGTGAGTATTTCTCATTTATCCGTGACAGGGCAGGAAGCACGGACTAAGAAAAAATCATGTCAAAAATAGTGATTTGATATGTGATTGCAGAAAACTAGAGCGAATATAAGTTTCATTTCAGGAGCAGCAATTGGCAATGAAGGCAGAACATGCTGAAATACTAAATGACTTCCAAGAAGCGCGGTTAAAGTATTTTTATCTTCCTTTATCTTCATTTTCTAAGATATCAGTTATTTCCATTTAGCTTATATGCGTATCTGTATTGTGCAATTAGTCCTTCGAGGAAGGCGCAAGAGAGCGGATCCAATTATATTCAGATGTAGCTATGTTTTTCTCTAAATCAGATTAACTATTTTGAATTTTAGCTTAAATCTACTCTTTTAAAGTATTTCTGTTTTCATTTCAGGCTTTTGAAACTTTATGGTGGGTTTCAGCTGGCTTTTATAACGCAAAAACAAAAATTGAAGTTTAAGGTCTGTTTGTGAATCTGTTTCTGAAAGCATTTGCACGTTTACTTTTAAATTCCCTCCTTCCTTATGTCAGTTGTTTCAGGTTAGAAATATGTTTTGTGTTGGATCGCCTCTCGCTGTTTTCTTAATTATGAGAGGTTCAACAACATTTCTTCCTGAAACTGATACTCTGAAGAGAGTATACAACATTTTTCATCCATACGATCCAGTGGTACATTTTTAAATTCTTAAGATCGCATTTTAATTAAATAATTTAAGATAACAATTGTAGAATTGATAATCTTTCATTTTTTATCAGCGATATTTCCAGGCATATCGATTGGAACCATTGGTGCACAAACAGTATCGTTTAATTCGACCTATTAAATTATTTAGTTCAATTGATCTGCGATCATTGCGAGATTATGCTCTACTTCCGCCAGAAGTGCGTTTTTTTTTGCTTGCATCTGGTTATGAAGTGAACCATACATTTCGTTTAGATATGCACAACTTTTTAGCTTTTTCAGACCCAACAATTCTCAATTTTTATAACGGTAGTTATATCACAGTACGTGGTAATTGTTTGTAACGTCTTCCCTGCCAAGTGGGAGGTGCTATTTCTTGCTTCCACTTTATTATAGGCTACTTTTTTGCCAGCTTTATTTTTAGCGACACTCTTCAACTTTATTTTGGAAGACGAAGTCAGAGGATTGAGTTTTACTATTTTTATTTTAACTGTTTTATTATCTTATGTCATACTTTTGTTATTTAATTATTGCTTGTTTGTTGCTTTATTTTAAAATCTAATATCGTCTTTTCAGATCAACAAAGCTTACATCAAAAAGATAAAAATAAAGGAAAAAGTTGGAAAAGAAAAAGATGCTCGGGTAGCAGTTGCTGGTGATAAAGATCACGAAGATATTGAGGAAGAGGATGAATGTGAAAGCGATGATTCGTCGGCTTTGCGACCGAGCAGTCCAGGTGTGATCGTTTACGGATTCGATTCTAAATCTTCACGACAGAAATTGGATAGGTTTAAATGTTTATCATGTTCTCTTTGTGTTGACAAACTTATGATTGTGAGGAATTGCTCAGTTTGGATTTTTAATCCTTTTCAAATCATTTTTCATTTTTCATTTTAGGTTCGTCACCACGAAGTTTAACGCCTCCACCATCAGAAACAGGTGATAATAAGAAGAGTTGGTGGAAATTCGGAAGCAACCGAAAGGAAAAAGAAGCTAGCGAGGGAGTTTTTGAAGAAGTTAAATTGAATGAAGCTCAGAAGTTGGTAGAAGAAATTCCTTCAGAAGAAAGTAAGTTTTAGTTTGTCTTGAAAAATTAACTATCTTATTAGACCATTTGTACTGAAGTTTGGATAGATTGTAAGGGATATAAACGAATAGAAAAGAAAACAGTATTATTTTGTAATATATTTGTTTCTTAACAATTTGTTGAGTACCACTGTATAAAGTAGTTACCTTTCGAGCTTCCACGGATGTGATCTGTAACAGCTTAACTGTCAGTGGAGTATATGCTAACGTGTGTCAATCCTGCAGATATATATCCATAAACTTTGGTGTATAAGGTTAAATCTGTTCCACAAAATGTATGTCGACATGCCGGAAATGTTTTCACAATGAGATTTTTCATTTTCTTCTTTAAGTGTATATTTCTAAAAATTTTCCGCAATGGCTTTGAAGGGTTGCCGTATCGTATGGATTATCAAATACAGCCGCAAATTACTGATCGTAGTTACTGGTCTGTATTAAAAAGCCATTTTACTTATTGGGCTAATCCCGATATTGCGGCGTTCATCGTCAACTGTTTATATCGAGAAGACAAAAAAGCAAAGTGAGCAGTGTTAAACAACTCGTGCAAATATGTGGTCTTCCAATACTCCATTGTTCTATTGAAATTTTTTTGTGTGAATTAAAACAGACTAGGTAGATATCTATATATAGTTATTTTTTGGATTTGGCTTAGTTTTCTGGAATCGAAATTTCAGAATTGTTTTCTAAAGATAAACCCTTATCTTTAGCTTTATTTTGAAAGACGAAGTTACGCTGTTCTTGTTTTAGCTTATGTTGGTTACTGATACACTTTATTATGTTGTGATTTTTTGTCAGCATTATTTTCCTGTTGCATTCATTAGGTTATACCTCTTATTGATTACATAGAAGTCACCTGATCACAAAAACTGAATTGAAAATTCCAAAAAAAGTTTAACTGTGGATCCTAAAACCCAGTCAACATTTAAGCTCAAGCCATATTCACTATATTCGTAAGGATTTTTTATAGTAATTTATTTTATATATATATACATATATATATATATATATTTGTTATTTCCCTGCCTGGGATCTTCTTTTCTGGGTTCCTCTCGCGCCAATTTGTAGATACAAATGGAACGAAATTTTAGTTCTGAAAATCAGAACATTGTATCCATTATTTTTCATTGAATTTACGTGTACACTTGATTCTTCAAGGGATTATTGCTTTACATATAAGTGTAATAAGATTTTTTCCATCACATATAATTCATTCTTATAGCGTTTATTAAATTTTTACATTTCTTTCGAACATTATAGCAGCACTATGAAAATTCAAAGAAGTGGAAAAATTACCAGCAGTGGATATCCAGAGATGTCTTCTAATGAAATTCTCAGGAAATTGATTTCCTAAAACAAACAGTTATGGAAAGGGAATCATTGTAGTCTGTGATTAAAACAAAGCTAATTCATTTTCTTATAACCCGAACAAGATGAGTGAGTCTAGGTAGTGATTTCCAGCACAATGATATTGACGAAAGTTACAGTTTGCGTAGGTTACACAAACTAATCGTTCGCTATTAAAATTTCGAAAACCAGTAATAGTGTTATAAGTGATACGCAGAAGTGATAAAGATACTTGATGATAACGGTGAGAACGTATAGTTTTTATAATTCGGTTTTTTCTACTCTAGGACAAGTGTAATTGGTTACTGATTAAGTACTGATTGGTTACTGATTAAGGAAACTAGTTTAGTGCAAAAAATACCTAGGTATGGTGTTTTAATAGAAATTATAGAAATACCAAGATGAAGTAAAGAAATAAATGGAAGTGGTTTTTTCGAAGTATGATTTATTCAATTCTAAAAAATAAATACCTACGTATTGTCAAGACGTTCTGTTCTATTATTCATTTACTTAGAATCATGGAGTTCATAGGCATGTTTCGCTTTTTACCTTCAACTGGAAAAATTTGTCGCACAAGAAGATAAGCATAATTTAAAATATTCGATTCTACTTTGAAGTTCATATGAAAATATACGATCAAAAATTTATTTTATACTGATCAAAAATTTATTTTATACAGTTGGCCAAAACGATGTGTGTCATTGGAAATCATTTTGCTTAAAGTATGCTTATCAAATCCTACATGACGACCAAGTTTTATTTTTCGACTAAATTTAATTAGCCTAGTCTACTTCCATTTGTCACTGGTATTAACACTGAAGTGAACTGCATGTCTTATGATAATGCTTCATCATAAAAACATGCACATTATTCCTTGTTTCTCAAATGCAACGAATATGAATACTATGTCATTTATTATAGTATGAATAAAAGTACAACATGAACAAAAAAATTTTTCCCATCTATATTGGAAAGGGAATATATTAATGAAAAAAAACTGTATAGTGTCATATCGAAAGCATTTTTCGTCTTTAAATGAGACAAAAAATTATTACGAAAAATTGGGGTTAAAATTACGGTAATGATATTGATAAGCTTTAACTTAATGAACACTTTGCAGATTATTAAAAAGAGCTCATGTAAAAAACTGTTGCAGTTCTCAGATTTTAGATATACCTTGATAAGGATCAGATGAAAAGCCTAATGAAACAGCAGACTCTCATTTGCTGCCGCTATGACTGTGATTCTGTGATTAGTTTGCGAAAATCACTCAGATTGCTTTCATTAAATACATTTAAAAAACAAACAATGGAAATAAGTCGTAAGATGTAAGATGAATTAAAAGCCGTGTTCATTAAGTTAGTGATGCAAAATGAACTCTAAATTCCAACACTAAATTCCAGTTAAACTTTTACTTGGAAAAAGTTTAAATTTTTGAGAATCATCAGGTACAGCAGTAGAAAAGATCTACTGAAAATGAATGAAATAAATAATGTTTGATAAAAGATGTAAAAAAGTATTAACAACAATTCACATATTGTATTCTAGCTAGAATAACTCCTCAAATATATAACTACAAAACGAGTGCTAATGCAAAATGATTAGTAAAACTAGAACACTTTGCACCTTTCGCAATAAGGTCGATTGGAATAATGAGTGCCCAACTTATTTTATTTTCAAAAAAATGGAAAATAATGCCAAGTTCAAAGTGTCTTCATTCAGGACAATGGGACAACTCAGATATAATCAAATTATGTAAACAATTTTTACATTCAATATAATGTAGAATTACGCAGACCTGTAATTTCACTCATCAATTATGTTTGTTGGAACAGATTATCTTTCTTGTTACAGATAGTATTGGTTTGGCAAGATCGATCAGAAACAATGACTGCTGCGACTATCCGACTATCTGAGATTTGTTACTGAGTTGATAGTGAGACGGCCAGTGAAGACACCAAAATAGGGCAGTGATAAATTTGTGACAAATCAATTACGTTACTGCTGGGGTCATTCTCTAATAGGATCACGGATCAGTGCTGCTTGGACCTTATTACTAATTGGGCATTTGTTTATCCAGGCCTCAAATTTGCAACCCGTTGATATTACCACCCAGGAAATCGGGAAAGTAATAATCTTCCCTCACCGTTCGTACGTACACTCATGCGTACATCTTCAACAGCACACGCTTACCAAGAGGGATGGGTCGATGTTGCGAAATGAAAGTGTAGGATGAATGGTTGGTGCGGATGTGGTAGACGTAACTGATGAGTCGTTATTGTCATCTCGAGATCTACTGGGACTGAGTGAAAGGGTAGAGAGGGTGGTTGGATGAAAGACAAATTGAGGAGTTGTCTTTTCAAATTTTTGTTGATTACTACAAAAAAAGAAATAAGGCAATAATGATAAAAGATGTGATAAAGGACGATAAATGATAAATGACAAATGATAGTAAAAATAAGGTTGAGATAGTTGTTACTGTTCAACTTTTCTTCCACATCTTTGTCTCTTTATTTTATTGAAACCGAAAGAAATCGTTAGTATTACTGCTTCATTTTTAGACTTTTTTATTTGTCATCTATGGCAAAGGTATTTGCGATATGAACGCACATTCTGCTCATTCTGAATTTTACTTCAAGGCACTAATAAGTTAGTTTCGTAACGAATTTCTTCTTTGCTAAAGGTTTTTATCAAGGCATTCTGAAATGGATCGATACGACATATGCTTTCAATTTACAGAAAAATTTGAAATTTTTGATTTTGATAGCTAATTTTGAATAATTTTCGGAGTGCTGAAATGGAAATGATATTTTGTTTTTGCTAATATTTTTCTTTCTAGAAGGTATATCTTATGAAATCAACAGTCAAGGAGAAACTTTAAAACAGCCAGCCAGTCGCACACGACTTCAAATATGCAATTTGCCACCGTTGGAACTGCCCACTGCTGTTGATAATTTTGTTTATGTTCGAATTACTAACATTGAAAGTGGTGAGTTAGTTTTTAATTATTTTAAGTTGTTGAAAACAGATGGATTACTTTGGTTAGGCGCAATGACAGGATTCTTAAAATTTAGGTTATAAAATATATAGTGCAAATTTTCCTGAGAAAGGTTATCGTTTTACGATTGTTATAAAATAGAAACAAGCGTATTTAATTTAATAATTTATTAAAGAAGACAGTGCATATATTATTGTAAAAACCGGTAATATTGTTAGAGATTATACAGCGAAATCCGAATTGAGCTATCTAACATTTCATATTGCTTTTTATTTAAAGGTGTGAAGAAATTTTTTGGCACACTAGAAAGGAACCGTTTTTTATTGGACGATTTGCAGAAAATGCTTGACGATATAAGATCAGCCAACTGTAAATCTGTTTTCGATCCAGCAATTGGCGAGATTGTTCTCGTGAAGTTAGTCTAGATATATTTATTATAATAATGTAGAATAGTAATGTTGTTCTTGAATCTCATTATTTGAACAATATTTTAAAACACATACATTTTTTTATATGTATCTTGCTTATAATCTTATTTTAGCTGTCATATTGAATGTTAAAACCAAGATGGCTTGGAAGCATATAAATGTTATAAGCTTCACAAGTTTTCAAGATCGTTCCTTAAAAAATTTAAATTTTTACTGTCCTAATTAGCATGAAACGTCATGTTATTCCAATGATATATTATTTCATTTTAAGGGATGGTGAAAGATTTGTTCGTGGATGTGTCGTGTGCAAAACACACTTCATGACATGTACGGTAAGCCGCATATCAATATTTTCTAAATACCGATTCTATGTTAATTTCTTGTTGTTTATTAATGTTGTCTTAGTTTGTTTATCCAATTATTTTAAGACTTATTTGATTGATTCTGGTCTTACTATGGAAATAGGATTAGAGCAGCTATATGTGATCAATGAAGAATTATTGAAAATACCTCCACAAGCTTTTCTGATGTTACTGGATGTTGATATTGAAGAACCATTAATATCAATTGACGAGCTTAGCGCAATGGTTAAAAATACTGTTGTAGCTTTCCGCTTAAGTAAATTTCCTTTCCTTATTATTTTCTCATCTTTCTAATTAAATCTTTGCTTAACCTCGGATTTTGTTTTTTTTTTTTTTTTTTTTTTTTTTGTGTAATTATGTATAATACAAACCTGAAAAATCTCGAAAGAAAA